CTTCCTCTTCTTTTAAGGGCATGAATCCTATCAGATTAGGGTCCCACCCTGATGACCCCATTAACCTTATTACCTCCTAAAGACTCCATCTCCAAGTACAGTCACGTGGGGAGTTACAACTTTAACATATGAATTGGGGACACAATTGGGTCCACGGTAGCAGACCTCAAATATTTGTTGAACGTGTACCACGTGTCGGGCACTGGTCTAGGGCGTAGAGAGAGAACAGAGTGAGCAGTGGGGAGGCAGGAAACCGAATCCATACAGACAGGTACCAATCCGTAAGATGTGGATATGTACACGTACATGCACATCCAGTAACTGCAAGCAGTGAGAAGTGCTAGGAAGGAAGACGAAACACAGTAAGGGTGGAAAGGGAGCTTAGTGTAACTGAGGTGTGGCGTCGTTTTAACAAATGATCGGGAAAGATTTCTCGTGGTGACATCTAAGGAGATGGAGACGTGTCACGTTACTCAGAGTGCAACCAGTGGAACTCGTTGCTGTAGCTCAGGGGTCTGCAAGGTTTTTCCATGAAGAACGAGATAGGAAATACGTTTGGCTCCATGGACCCTACCATCTTGGCCTCTGTCACCACTGCTTTCTCTATCATTGTCTTGCAAAAGCAGCCATAGACAATATAGAAACAAGTGAACGTAGCTGTGTGCCAATAAAACTTTATTGGTGGACACTGAAATCTGAACTTCCTGTAGCTTGCATGTATCATGAAATAATCTTCTTTTGATTTTTTTTTTTTTTTTTTTTTTTTTTACTTAAGCTAAAAAATGGAAAAAACCATTCTTAGCTCATAGGAAGTATCAGAGCGGGGGACAGGCCAGATATGGCCCGTGGGCCACAGTCCACAGACCCCTGCGGCTGTAAGGTGCTTCTCCCAGTTGTGGGGTGAGGCTGGGGACCCATGCAGGGCCCAGAACCCAAGTTCCTGGCACACAGTAGGTACTCCACATGTGTTTGTTGAAGGAGGGAAAGAAGGGAGAGGAGGGGGGAAAGAATCCGGTGTCAGAAAGTCCTACAACAAGCACCCTGGCTGCTGAGGCCCGGTTGGGAGTGTTGTCCCGTAACCGAAGGGCTGCCGGTTCTGTCCCCAGTCAGGGCACATACCTAGATGGCAGGTCCAATCCCGGGTCCGGACGCATATGGAAAGCAGCCAGTCCATGTTTTTCTCACACGTCGATGTTTCTTTCTCCCTTCCTCTCTAAAAAGTAGATCAATAAATAAGCTGTTTAAAACAAAGAATGAGATCCTAGAGGCATGAATTCCTGGTGTGGAGCCCCAGGCTGACACTGGCTTCACCTAGCTGTCTCTTCTCGGGCTCCACGACCGTGTCCTCGGGCCTCTGCGAAGCTGCTGAGTTGCCATTGCCGTAGCCGTAGCCTTTGAAACGCCCGCAAACTCAGAGCCCTCTCTCCGCATCTGTGAGCGGGCAGCCTCCCACAGAGCACTTACCAGATCAGATCAGTGCCTCCTGCCGCCTGGAAAGCTTCCATTGTCCACCCCAGACACCAGTCCGGAAAAGCACACGTGCAGCCACGGCCCAAAGCCCGCTTGTGCCCTGTCCCGGCATAATGACTCACAAGTGCCACTGATCTGCATTTTTCACCAGAGTGCTCGGGTCCCCACTCAGAAGAGTCATTTGCATCCTCCGTCCAGGGCTGCTGACTGCTATATTAATCTCCCATTTGTCCCCTCTTGAGTCATCTAATATTACTGCTGGCTAATTAAAACATCAAAGCCCCAAGTACAACAGCCCTGCCGGAGGCCTCCTAATGGTGGGTTTCGAGTGTGCGGTTCAGCACAGCCCGGGGTGGAGAGTGGCAAGCCGGGCGCTCGGGCCCCCAATTACTCGGCTCGTAGTGACCACCCCTTGCACATCTGGAGCCTCAACAGATGGCCTCTTTCACTCGGCCTGTTAGCTCTGCGCCCTGCAGCGAAGGCTGGAGGCGCCCACCCGCCAGCCACACCCCACACCACCTCCTCCTGCCTCCCTGCGCTCCCCCTCCCCTCGTCTCCTCGAGTGCTGGGTCCTGGCCTCACCCCATGCCAGCACCATCTCCACTATCCCCCCAGGATTCCAGTCGCTCTGGGGTGTTAGCGTGGACGGTCCAGACAGTTTCTAAGCTGGCTGCGTGATGCCTGGTATTGACGGAGGATGCCCAGGTGCCTGCCGCTCGGGCGGGGGAGGACTGTGGGCTCCTTCTGGTTGTTGGCCCCATCAGAGGAAGTGGTCACAACAGAGGCCTGCCCAGATGGGACTCCCATCACCTTCTTGTCTGCCGGAGGAGACAGCGGTGGAGACAGAATCCTAAAGAGGGTTTAGAATGCCTTTGGAAGCCTTCAGAGGAGGTGGAGTGGTTTGTGCGCAGCCTCGCACGGGGACACACGTGAAACACAGTCCAGCCGGACAGGAAGTGCCGAAGGGGGACTGGGGGAGGGATGCATCCAAATCCATGTTCTCCTGCTCCCGGTCTGGTCGTGGTGTGGTGGTGATGCTTATAGCAGTTGCAGCAGCAATAGTGCTAGACATTGTGCTAGAATTAGCGGAATAATCACACCGATTGTAGGAAGTAATGGCTAACGTTTAGGAGGCAACTGCCATCGTCCAAGTGAGGGAGGACGGTGGCTCGGACAGGGGAGCGGAGGGATTCCGGAGCGATTTAGAAAGCTGTGGTGGAGGGGCGTGGGGGTGGGTTCAGATGGAAGGTGACGAGGAGGGTGTCCAGGGCAGCTCCCACCTGTGGCCTGCACAGAGGTGTGGAGAGCGGTGCCCGGCACTGAGATGGGAACCCCTGGGGATGACTGGGCCTGGCCAGGGCAGGGAGGGGTGGGAGGCCGTGAGTCAGGCCCCTGCCGTCTGTTCGCTGCCACTGCTCCCTGCACTGTGCTGCAGCTGTCTTTCCTAACGGTGTGTACTCGCCTGCTTCCTGTCCCCAAACTCTGGCACGGCGGCAGGGGTGCTTGAGCCCAGAGCTGGCCACTGGCCGGCAGGTGGCTGCAATAGGCCTCTCCCCTCAGGACCTCTGCCCAGGCTGTTCTCTCTGCCTGCAAGACCCTGCTGCTCTCCTCTTTTCTCTGGCTAACACCAACTTGTCCTGCAGGTCTTGACTGAGAAGCCGAATGTCTAGGTCAGGTGCCTCTTGCATGTGCTTCCACGGTCCCCTCCATCCTGTCAGTGTCCCATGTTGTTGCACCCATTGCTCTCGATTGGAGTGGCTCATTCACTAGTGAGTCCCCTTCTCGTTGGATGGTGAACTCCATGAGGGCAGAGATCACATCTTTCTACTTTGTCACAGTAGTCCTGCTCCTCGCCGCCTTGCCTAGCCCATCGGAGATACTCAGTAAACCCATGCTGAATGAGTGAGTGATGAGCGAGTTAATGAGTGAATTAGGCATGATGGTCAAGAGGGGGTTGTCACACAGTTAGGGGCGTGGTTTGAGAGTCGGACTGCCAGGAGTTGATTCCTGGCTCTAGCTTACTAGCTCTGTGATCTTGGACAACGTGGTTAACCTCCCTGTGACTTGGTTTTCTCATCTGTGAAATGGGGATAATAAGGTTTTTGCTTAGCACTTACTAAGTGCTCGCTGAGTGGCAGTTTTCAGTAGTAGTCTTTCAGAGTTCTCTGTGACTTCTGTCCTGGACTTAGCCCATTCGGTGTTAATCCACGGCTCCCTCACCCACCTCAAGCCCTCCAGGCTGATGTAATGTGGCCCCTACCTCCTTTCTGACCTCATTGCCTTGTACTCGCCATGACTCATCACTCCAGCCACACTGGTCGATTTGCTGGTCCTTCGAACTTAGTGTGCTCACCTCTGCCTCAGAGCCTTTGAACTTGCCTTTTCCCCCTCCACTTAGTCACTGTCACCTCCCTCTATTTCATATTCTTAGCGCCACCTGAAGTTATATTGTCTGTGTATTCTTCTACCTACTATCTCCATTTCTCCCACGACAGTGCTCCAGAGGGTCAAGGACTCTGTCTGCCTTGTTCACCAGAGTGTCCCCCGTGCCTAGCAGCACCAAACACATTGAGGGGGCCCAAAGTATAGCAGCTGAAGGTGTGAATGCCCTGCCTCAAGGTCACTGCCCTTTGCTCTGTCCTTTGTCATGAGTGTCACTTAAAATTGGCTCTTCTCCCCTCCCCTGCTCAGCTGTCGCATCAGGGTTGCCTGCTGCCTCCCCTCACACGTTGCAGAGGGACTGATGCTTGTCTGATGCGCAGGCACACCTCCGCCCACCAGGTAGACAGCTGCTCAGAAATGCCCGAGATGGAATGTGGTCCTCATCCATGAGTCTGAAATGGAGGGGCCACCCCTGCTCAGTCCAGGACTTCTTCGCCCTCTCCTGCTGGGAAGTTCGCTTACAGTGGTGAAGGCAAATGGAGAACTGCAGGTGTTTAAGACAGAGGGAGCAGGAAATGCAAAGGCCCTGAGACAGGGACATGCCTGGCATTTTCGAGAAGCAGAAACCTGAAATTTGGGGAAAATGTTCTGTGCAAATCTTTCTAATTTAAAACACCTGTTTTCCCACTACTTGCTAGAAACGGTGAGTTTGGACTGTAGCAGGGAGACCCAGAAAATGAGCTTGACCCAGTGTCAGGTTTGTAGCCCTGAGGGCTTAATTCTTCAGAGAAACTGATGGAGTCCTTTGGATCGCTTATTCATTCAGCAAACATTCACTGAGTCCCTGCTGTATGCCCAACGGGTCAAGGCACCAGGGAGCTCCCGACCACATTTGGGCTCCTGACCCCAGTCCCCAGAGCAGAACCCAAAAGGCTCTTCCACGACATCTCCTTTTGCATCAGTGGCAGGGCCAGGTTCCCAGACACCTTGCATGTGTCAGCCAAGGAGAGTGAGACCCCTCTCTCTGTGCAGACAGTGGGTAACTCTGAGTAGACTCCAGCAAGAGCAACACCTCTCCCGTCCCCGTGGAGACAACATCCCAGTGCCCTCAAGACCTTGCCTAACATCCTCTCTTGTTCTCTCCTCAGTCCCCTGCTTCGGGAAAACAGTCCCCCACAAAGAATGGCAGCCCCTCCAAGTGCCCCCGCTTCCTCAAGGTCAAGAACTGGGAGACTGATGTGGTTCTCACGGACACCCTCCACCTTAAGAGTACATTGGTGAGTATCTCAGGAGGGTGTAGACCAGGATTTACCAACCTCAGCACTACCCACATTTGGGACCGGATAATTCTTTGTGGGGGGGGGACTGCCCTGTGTATCCACCCAGGGGACAACTGGCAATATCTGAAGACATTTGGGATTGTCACAGCTTCTGGGCTGATACCTAGTGGATTACAGGTAGTAATGAAAGAGGCTCAGTCTCTTGATGGAGAGTTGCTATAAAGTCACATGGCAAAGGGTGTGAGTATAGGGAGGGGGAAATTGGGGCTATCTTTTGCAATCAGTGTACCTTAGATGTGCCCAAACAAGTCCCTGTAGCCACTCTGCTAGCACCTTGGGCGTCAGTACCAGGGGAATGCTGGTCACAAAGCCCCTCTGCCCCACTTTGAGTAGAGCAAATGTTTTCAGAACCTTAAAATGCTGCTTAGGGTTCTTTACCTTGGCCGATGACCACGTCCAACCGTGATTTGAAGCTGGTACTTGAGAAAGCTCCCTTGGGAGCTCAAGGCCAGGTAAACCCCACCATGGATATCCACTGCGAGTCCGCAGCCCGATACCTGCCATGCTTGGGCAAGACCAGGTGACAGCCCGCCTCTCCCTTGCCGCCCAGGAGACGGGATGCAGCGAGCACATCTGCATGGGCTCCGTCATGCACACCTCTCAGCAGTTGCGGAGGCCGGAAGACATCCGCACTAAGGAGCAGCTCTTCCCTCTCGCCAAAGAGTTTATCGATCAGTACTACTCGTCCATTAAAAGGCAAGTTCACGCTGACACTGGGGAGCCTGGGGTGAGTGACCAAGTGCTAGGGACGAAGACCTCAGTTCCACTTCAGTGCCACCTTTGCAGGCAGCTGAACCCAGACCTGAGCATGAGGCCTCTGCCCGCCACGTGGGCCCCCACATGTTTTTGTTGGGTCTTCATTTGAAACATTTCAAGCAATTCCACACCCAGGCGTACACCCTAGAGAAACGTGCACACTTGTGCACGAGAAGGCACACATAAAAAATGTTCACTGGAACATTGTTATAACAGAAAAAAAATTAAAATTAAAGAACCAGCTGGAAACCACCTCAACACCCTCTGACAGGAGAATCCATTAAAGAATGTGGTGGTTTCCATATGAAATACTATACAGCTGTAAAAAATGAATGGGTTAGAACTCTGTGTGCCTGCAGGAATGAAGCTCATGAAAGAAAGGACACGTTAAAGCATACAGTCAGCATCACCATTTATGGAAACATTTAAAAAAATTTAGATTTTTTATTTGTTTATTTTAAGAAAGAGAGGAAGGGAAGGAGAAAGAGGGAGAGAAACATTAGTGTGTGGTTGCCTCTGGAGCACCCCCTACTGGGGACCCGGTCTGCAACTCAGACAGGTACCCTGACTGGGAATCGAACCAGCAACCCTTTGGTCCTGAGGCCTGCACTCAGTCTACTGAGGTATACCAGCCAGGGCTTATGTAAACATTTTAAACATGCAGAACATTACTAGACATATATTTAATATATGCAGTACTATATATAGTAATACTATATATGCATGTTGGCAAAAGTATGAGAATGGTTAATGCCACATTCAAAATAGCAGTCACTTCTAGGAAGGACGTGAGCTATTACGGGGAAGTAGTTATCAAGGATTAATAATAATAGTTCTTATTTATTGCTTCTTATAATATTCTTATGTATTATTTCCTAGACTTGGGGCATGAGTGTTCATTATATTATTTTTTATGCCTTTTTATAAGTCCAAAATTTTTCATAATAATTTTTTTTACTTTCTAAAATTGAATTCATTGCCATCATTTAAAATTAGAAGTTTCCTTTTAAAAAAATTAACTTCTGGTTTCATCTGAAAGATCAGGCAGCAGCGGGCCCCCATCACTCTGTGACAGCTGGGTGGAGCAGAGGGTGTCCGTCCCCGCTGGACCAGGCAGGGGCTCACCTGCTTGCCGCAGTCCCTGCCCAGCCAGTGCACTCACTGCTGCACCTTTGTGGGCATTTTAGTTTGCCGTCTCTGCTTCATGCTTGAACTATATTGCGTCCAGAAATCAACTCGGAGTTTCTGTGGCTTCTGGCCTCCTAGAATAGCTCCTTCCTTTCACCAACCTCTAGTTTTGGGAGAGAAGGTGACACTCCTACCTCTCTGTGCCCCACCCCCACTCAGATTTGGCTCCAAAGCCCACATGGAGAGGCTGGAAGAGGTGAACAAAGAGATTGAAACCACCAGCACCTACCAGCTCAAAGACACGGAGCTCATCTACGGGGCCAAGCATGCCTGGAGGAATGCCTCCCGCTGCGTCGGCAGGATCCAGTGGTCCAAACTGCAGGTAGGCCGTGAGGCTCAGATTCCTGACGAGCCCTTCGGTGGAGGGGGTGACGGGTAGAGGGGGGAGGGATGAGCTTCACAGTGGCTCGGCTCCTACCAACGGCATCTGGAGGCCACGGTGAACTACCAGACGGTCGTCATGGGGTCCCAGATTCTTAGGTCATGGCCAAACCTGGCTTAGAGTCATGTCTTCTTAAGCCAACACAGTAAACACTGTGTTCATTTTTTAAATGAATTTGCATACCTCTTGGTTGGACTTATACACTCCATTTTACTACAGACCCCACCACTCCCTTTTGTGTTACACCTACTGTCTTTGTTTGTCTATATGATTTGCCTACTCACTCAAAACATCAGAGTCTATGTCCCCTGGTATGATTTTTTTTTCCTCTGAGGAATAGTTTCAAGTTGGAAGTAGATTAGTTTTCAAACTCAAGGGTTTCTTGTTTGGTTTTTGTTTTGTTTTTTAATTGCTGGTAGCCTTATAGGAACCAATAACTAGCCCACTATGTCTCTGCTCTCCTCACCTTCCCTTTGCCACATCACCCACGCTCCATGCCTACATTTACGGGGTTTTCCTGGTTCGATGGGGCTGCAGCTGGAGTGGCTCCGGGCTCTCCTCCAATGGGAAAGGCTGCCCTAGGGGAGCCGAGGAGGGATGGGAGGCCACCAATCGCATGATGCTCCTCTTCCAGGTGTTTGATGCCCGAGACTGTACCACGGCTCATGGGATGTTCAACTACATCTGCAACCACATCAAGTATGCCACCAACAAAGGGAACCTCAGGTGAGCTGACCAGCTTGGGGGAGGGGAGTCCCCCAGCACTGACTCTGAGGTCTGGAGTTGGCTCACCTGCCAGGGAAATACTCCCCTCACCCTCTCGGGGAGATAGAATAAGCTGGGAGTGGTGGCCTAGCATCCTCTGTTCCATCACCTTGTCCCTTGTCTTTGGGAGAAACAGACCCCCGTGTGTTTGCAAAGCTACAGCAGGAAGGGATGTTTCCCATTCCTGGGAACAGGAGAATCCCATTGCCAGAGGTGACCTGCTTTTGCCAGCTCCCGCTCTGCTGCCTGGAACAGCCTCAGAATCCCCCTTGGTCGAAAAAGCAATTAATTTTTCTTCCTGCTGCTGTGGGGACCGCTTTGTCAGGTTCCACTGAGCCAGCTCCTCTCACCCCACTTGAAGAACAAAGCCACCAGGAGCAGGCCAAGACAGGAAGGCCGGGTGTGGTCTGGTGGCTTTCACACTGGCACGTTGCAGTTGGGAAAGGAGCAGCTGGAAGGGCACAGCTGGAGCCCCACAGACGGGCGGTGATCCTTATTAATGCTGCCCACTCAGTCCCCTGCCCTGATCTGTGCCCAGCTCCTGAGGACCAGCCCCATCTCGAGGCCACTGCAGGGATATTCCCATGAGCCCCCAGGCCACACTGAGCTCATCCCCAAAGTGGTTTGTTGGCATGAAGCATGGGTTCTCTTGCATGAGTCTTTTCCTTGAGAAGGAAACAGTACTTGGCAGCTGAGCCTGCCGGTAGGAGAAGGGCCTGTAACCCAAGCCCAGGGCCTGCGTGGGGAATTAGCACCGTGGACTCGTGAACAACACGGTTTCAAGTGCACAGGCCACTTGGACACAGACGTTTTTCAAGAAATGCATAAGATGTACTTTTCTCTTTCTAGTGATTCTTTAAATAGTATTTTTTGCTTCAGCTTGCTTCAGTCTAAGAATATAGAATTGTAATACATGTAACCCACAAAGCATGTTGGTTGTGTGTGTTCTCGGTAAGGCTCTCAGGCAACAGCAGGCTGCTGGGAGTTAAGTTTGGGAGAGTCAGAAGTTAGCCGTGGGTTTTCGGCCGCACGGGGTGAGTGCCCCCGAACCCCACACCGTTCGAGAGTGAACCGCGTGTCCTTCCACTAAGAGAGCCCGCCGTCCGGAGAACGCCTGCGTGCCCTGAGCTCCGACGGAGGGCTTGCTTGGGGCTCAGCCTCACGGAGCTTGTGGGCCATCCTGGCCGTTCTCCAGCGACACTGTGACGGGGTGATACAGGAAAGGGGGGCTGCCTCACAGGCCAGGAGCGCCCCTCCACTTCGGGGAAGTCTCCATGGGATCTTCTACTGAAGAAAATGTTCAGCTGACTTTTTTTTACAAATGTTAAAACCATACATCTGGACACATACATAAGAGCATGCATGCCATGTATAGAAATAATCTAAACGTGGGGGAGAAAAGCAGGCAAGAGAAAAGAACGGAGGGGAGAGAGAGAAAAAATGTTAATGACTTATTATTAAAACTAAATGAGAGGGAGAGAAACTAAAGAGAGGGAGAGAAACATTGACGTGTTGCCTCCTGCACACTCTCTACTGGGGACCTGGCCTGCCACCCGGGCACGTGCCCTGCCTGGAAACGGAGCCAGTGGCGACCTGGCTCGCCGGCTGGCGCTCAGTCCGCTGGGCCACACCAGCCGGGTGACAGAGACGACATTGAGACGGTGCAGGGCGTTGGCTCCCCTGTGTGTTGGGATCAGGCCCAGGAGACGCAGAGGCTGAGAGCTGTGCGTGTGTCGTGTTTCCGCTGTCGGTCTCAGTCCCTGCGCACGCAGGGTGTGATTCTGGTGTTTCTAAACACGCTTTTCAAATGTGCACATATTACACAGACACCCTGTGTCTGGTGCTCAGCCGAAGAACCAGACGTGTGTTCTACTGCCGGAGGGAAAACGGGTGCTTTGACTCATCTTGGGTTGGTTCCCAACGTGGCACGTTTGCTGGGAGGTTTGTAGGAGCATCGCTGGTTCTTTGTGACTTTTACCTTCAGCCCCGTTCTAGACTCTCCGCCAGGTGCATTGCGTCAATGCGACACTGTCCTGTGCAAACAGTGAGACCAAAATGTGCTCAGAAAGGAGGCCATGGGAACCAGGTGGGACAGGGGACACTCTGTGGAGAAGGGGGATTTGTGTCGGGGCTTGACTTTGGAAGCCTGAGAACAGGGAGGGATTCCAGCCGAGGGGGACAAAGTTCCGGAGGCAGGATGTGTGGGGGAGGAGGTCTAAGCAGTGGGCTGGACCCACGATGTGGCTCCCGTGCCGATTGATACAAGTCATAGCTTGGGACTCGGTCCACCCAGGGGACCAATGGATCCAGGTGGCAGGAACTCCTGGTGTGAGATGACATTGAACCACCTCAGGAAAAGTTATCTCCTTTGATTTTTTTGAATCCTTCTGGTGACACCAAGCAGAAAGTCTTGGTTTGGTGCTCGCCTGCCGTTCACGCCTCTCTAGCCCTGCCGATCTCCTTGTAACACACAGAGAGCAGGGCTCCCGCCAGGTGCCTTCAGCAGGTGACACCTCCCATTTAGTAACAGTACACGGTGTCCGCGTTGCCTAGTTAGGAGGGCGAGGCCAGTGGCGATCTGTAGTTTCGAGAAAAGAAATGTGAGTACAAAGGAAAGGTGATCTACAGATTCAGTTGTGAATCTGTAGACTTTGTTACGGAATGGGAGCGGTGAGAGCAATGGTGGTAATTTGGAAGGAGAGAGATTAGAACTAGAAACTGATGCTCCGTTCTCAGTGGGAAGCAGAGTCTATTTTTCTTTCCCTGGAGATTACCTGCTGCATGAGAACTCCCTGAAAAACTAGCCCGTGTCAAGTTGGGTAAAAGCCACATAGGAGAAGCACCCTTTTCCCTTAAGCTCCCATCCTCCGCCCTTCCTGAGACCGGCGGTGCCCTGGAGCAGCAGCGCAGGTTCCTTCCCTCCCTCCCAGCAGCTGCTCCTTGGGCCCTGAGGACCGTGGCCCAGCTGTGTAGTCACTGGCTTGGGTGACACCTGGGAAAGATGTCACCCAAAGTGCAAGCCCCACCCTGATGCCAAGTGTCCCTTTCCTCCACCACAGGTCCGCCATCACCATATTTCCCCAGAGAATCGACAGCAAGCACGATTTCCGAGTCTGGAACGCCCAGCTCATCCGCTATGCCGGCTACAAGCAGCCTGACGGCTCCATCCTAGGGGACCCAGCCAACGTGGAGTTCACGGAGGTGTGTGCCCCCCAGTCCGTGCCCACCTGGGCTCTCATTTCCGCCCCCAAACTGCTTTCATCCACGGACTTTTCTTAGTTGAATGTTTTTGTCACAGAGAGAGCAGCACTAGGGCCATTGTTTCTTCCTCCCCAAACCTCCTCCTCCCTTCGGCTGCCCCCAGCCCAGCTGATTCTTTACAGGGTGTCAAGGGTCGTTTTCATGCCATCACCTTGCCCGACCTCATGATGGGAACCATTGTTCCACTTCACAGATGAGTGGGCTGAGTCTCACCAAGGCCAAAGGAGTTATCCCAGTCAGTAAGCGAGCAGAAGGAAAGCTAGAAGTACAGTCCAAATCTCCTGCCTTTCACCTGGAGGAGAGGAGCTGACATATAGAAACCATATCTGACACCCACGTTTTCTGAGTTGGGGAATATGTCAACCTTATCATTCATTCATTCAGTTGTTGATACAACAATTCCACCCACACAACCCCATCTGGGTGGGCTGGACTCTCCATGGTACCTGCACAGCCCCTATTGCTGGCAGCCCAGGTCAACTCATAGAGGCCACCAGGAACACAAACACCACCACCCAAGGCTCCTTCCAGGGGGTGATGCGGGCAGGTAGCACAGCTAAGGCGTGGCAGCTTACAGCATCTGTGCCCACAGGAGACCCATGCCTACCAGGATCTCAGGCACACAGGCCTGGGGACCCCCCTTAAATGGCATCTTTGCCTTTTCTTCAACCACCACCCCCCCGGAAAAAACTCCACCCAGTACCTCCCCCAAAAGGAGCTGGCAAGGCAGGGCTGCTGTTCCTTCAGTTGCTGCTGACTTCACTTGCATCTGGCTTTTCTTACTGAAGTGTTACTACCCAAGGAAGGGGCTGTAACCAGGCCGACCAGGAGTCAAACCTGTGCGCGTTTAGAGTTAGCCAGACTCTCTGCTGCACTTGGCTGAGTGCTTACTATATACTAGGCTGACCCTGTCCCTGCGGCCACCAGAACATGAACCCCACAGCCCCTTCCTTTCCTTCTGTCACCAGAAACCTCACTGACAGGACATGTTCTCCTAAGCCCATAACTCGGCGCTGCCTCTCTGTACCAGCATGGCGGGGGGGTCACCCCAAACATGGCCACGCTGACCATCTCTTGAAACCCTCTGGCCTGAGCCGTCCAATTCAGCAGCTACTGGGCATGCGTGGCTAGCGGGCACTCGAGATGCGGCGGGTTCAGATGGGGATGGGCGGGTCTCCGTGACAGTAACAGGAAGCAGACAGTGGCACATACCTCATTAACAGTTTCTATCCTGATTATGTGGTGAAAACAATATAGTGGATAACATTGCACTAACCTGTTGATTACACTTACTAATAAGTTAATACATTTATTGGGTTAACAAATATATTTAATTATATGTTAAATAGTCTTAAGTATACTAATATTAAATTTTATTTTAAAATTTATTATTGACAAATAATTATATCTAATACATCTGATGAGATGTTATATATTGTATATTTCATATATTTAAGATTTTATTTATTTTTAGAGAGAGAAGGGGCGGCGGGGGGAGAGAGAGAGAGAGAGAGAGAGAGAGAGAGAGAGAGAGAGAGAGAGAGAAACATCAATGTGTGGTTGCTGGGGGTCATGGCCTGCAACCCAGGCATGTGCCTGACTGGGAATTGAACCCTCAATGCCTGGTTTGCAGCCTGTGCTCAATCCACTCAGCTACAGCAGCCAGGGCATGTATTTCATATATTTATTGAATTAAGTAATTTCAATGTCAAATATAGTATTAAAATATATTGAAACCAATGCTGTGTTTAATGCAGTATTAATAAATTAATATTGATACAATTGATATATGATCATTAACAATTACTTAATAATTAAATATTGAAATTAAAGTAGATATAAAATTAATACATTTAAATTATTTTTACCTTTTTTGTTTTCCTTTTTTAATGTGACTACCAGAAGCTTTTAAATTACTTGATGTGGCTTGTGTTATATTTTGATTGGACAGCCCCTCTCACAGGTGCGTTTTGGGCACAGACTCTGATAGACGCGCCTTCCCCGTGTCTCAGGCTCCCGGTGCAGACACGTCCAGGGCAGTGCCCACTGTGGGCCGGGCCCTGTGCACACGGACACTGCCAGTGCAGACCCAGCCTTTGCCCTCTGGGGCCCCCAGTACGCAGGGAAGACCCAGAGCACATAACAAGGTGTGGTGCTGGGGCTCGGGTCTGCCCTCTGTCACATGGGACCACAGACGTGATGCTGGTTAGGCGGTGATGCCAGGGAGACCTTGGTACTGGAGGCAGTGTGGCCCAGAGCCTCCGGAAGAAGGGGCTGCTGGTGGGCTCATGCTTGGGTCTTTGCCCCGCCCCCAGTACCATTGTGTTTGGAGGGCAGGGGCCTGGTGGCCAGGCCTGGAGGCCTGACCTGGCCTGGTCTGTGTGCAGATCTGCATACAGCAGGGCTGGAAACCCCCGCGGGGTCGCTTCGACGTCCTGCCACTCCTGCTCCAGGCCAACGGCAACGACCCCGAGCTCTTCCAGATCCCTCCAGAGCTGGTGTTGGAAGTGCCCATCAGGCACCCCAAGTAAGAGGGCCTGGCATGGAGTGGGTGGGGGTGGGTGGGTTTGCCCGGTGGCCCGCTCTGCCCATCCCTGTATCCCCTGGCTCTCTCCCCAGCCCAGACATAGACTGAAAGGGGGTCTTTCTTCCAATCCCCATCATGGGGCCTGGGCACAGTGGGCCCCCCAGAACCAATAACCCCTCCTTGACCCGCCTGGGGACTGTCATCTTTTCTGAGTCATCACCCCCTCCTTACGCCGCGCCTCAGCTGTCACCCTGGACCTGCCCTTTCCCAGCCCAAAGGGTCGGATGAACGGAAGCACCTACTGCCTCGTCGCAGGCACAAATTTCAGACAGAGGGGGCCGTGTAAAGCTCTGTGTGACCTGATGTGAGTCGAGTCTAGCAGGATTTGGAGTCGGGAGGGAGCTGTGAGCCCTGAGGCCTGAGGCCAGCCACGCAGGCAGAGTTCGTGCTGTGAGAGCGAAGGACGTCCACAGCAGGGCACTGGCCCCGGGGGCAGACAGGGGAAGGCACCAGAATCTCAGTAATCAAGATAAATAATACTTTAATGCAACAATTAAAAAAAATCAACATTCTTTTTTTTTTTTTTAAATCTGTGATGCACAATGTGTCATTTTAAATAGAGACAGGATCCAGCTCAGGGCTATTAGAGAGAGTCAGGCAAGTGCAGGGTGGAATCCTGTCGTTATTTAAAATTTCGATCACACTCAAATAAAAACTAAAGTTCAATAAGTTCTGCAGTCGAAATTTTATGGTGCCCAGAGGCATGAGGTGAACTGACCCCACCCAGGCTGGGCCTCGTGGAAGGCTTGCCAGAGTAGACAGTATTTCAGCTGAGAATTCAAGTGTAAGGGCTGGACAGACACAGAAGGAAGAGGGAAGATCCTGGGACGAAGGAACTGCCGTGCAAAGACCCTGGGGTGGGAAGGAACTCACTTCCTCATGGACTAACTTTCAAAGAGGGTTTGGGAGGTAAACAGCAGCCCAAGGCAGTGGTTTCCAGGCTTAGATGTTCATCCAGATCACCTGGGAAACATGTTAAAATGCACATTCTCAGGCCCCAGCTCTGAATCAGATTCTACAGGTCTGGAGCAGAGCCCAGGAACCGAGTCCAACAGAGTCAGGCCCAGTCCGGCGCTGGCATTCCAGCCTCCCAGATGGAGGATGTCCCACCCATCACCTGCCTGTGAGACTCCCACCCCATGGTGAGCCGGGTCACCTTGCTTTCCACAGGTTTGAGTGGTTCAAGGACCTGGGGCTGAAGTGGTACGGCCTCCCCGCTGTGTCCAACATGCTTCTGGAGATTGGTGGCCTGGAGTTCAGCGCCTGCCCCTTCAGCGGCTGGTACATGGGCACGGAGATTGGCGTCCGTGACTACTGTGACAACTCTCGGTACAACATCCTGGAGGTGAGCCCCCTCCTTCGTCACCATGACGGGGAAGCACAAGGCACACGGGGTGGGCTCGGCAGTCCTCCCCCATGGGCCAACTTTGGGGCTGGGAAACTGACAGTGGGTGAAAACAGCCTGCGATCCAGGGGAGCCCTTGGCGATTCCGGAGACATCCGGGGCACCAGCAGCGCAGGTGCTGTGTACTGTGCGCTGGGCACTGTCCGAAGCACTTGGCACGCATTACACGCTCATTTACCCTTACCACAACCTCCAGGTGTGAAAAACCCCTTTCACAGATGAGGAAGCCAAGGCCTTTGCAGGGATGAAATGACAAGCTCAAGGTCATATCACTAGCTAGTAGCAGAGCTGAGATGGGAACCCAGTCTGGCTTTACGGTCCAAGTTCATAACCACTGCCTCTCACTGTTAGAAGAGTTTGAGAATGACCCATGAACTTGGGATACTCTCTCTCTCTTCTCTGAAAAATAAGGGGGGAGGGCTGGCAGTGGTTCGCACCATGCACATTTCCCAGGGGAGGGTCTGGCTGACTCCTGGGCCGAGCTACCATTATCTGCTTACAAAGTGCTGGGGCGGGGTGCCACCCGTGCTCAGCTGTGGCGAGGACGCCGGGACTGCTGCAGCCTCCTCAGCAAATGCTGTTCTGACAACAGTCTGCTGTGGTTGGCCTTGCTTCCAAACGGGGCATGGAAAACCAGAGAAGTTAAGTTCCCAGCCTGTGTCACACAGTAAGTAAGGTAGAGTCGAGATTAGAACCCAGAACCAAGCACTGGGATTACATGGTTAAAACCCATAGGTGTTCCCGTGGATGGACCTTGAGGACGTCATGCTGAGTGAGCTAAGTCAGAGAGATGAAGACTAGTGCTGTGCAGTCTCGCTCACATGCGGGGCCTAAAACGCCAAACGTGTAAACACAGAGAGTAGAATGGTGGCTGCCAGGGGCGGGTGCATGGGAACTGGGGAGATGTTTGAGTTAAACAGATAAATAATTTCTAGAGACCCCAAACCTGGTGATTATAGTCAACAGTCCTGAGCATCAACGTCGGAGTTGTTGAGAGACTAGATCTGAATTGTTCTCACCACAAAAAAGAATTGTGTGACGTGATACGGGTGTTAACTAATGCCATAGTGGTAACAGTGTTACAATATATAAATGTATCCAACCAACACCTTGAACTTGCACGATGTTATATGTCCATTGTAGCTCACTTTTTAAAAAAATTCCCATGGGTGTCAGCCTGGAAAACAGAAGCTGGGGTCCTCAGACTTGGGGAGTTTACATCATGATGCCCAGGGTCCTGCTCCTTGGGATGGATGTAATTGCTCCGTAGGCCGGGGGCGGGGGGGTGTGCTTCAGCATTTTTCAAAGCTCCCTAGAAGATCCACTGGGGCAGCCGCTGGTCTGTACAGACCAGTGATAAGGAAGGAAAAGACATTTCAGGCAGTTTTCACAGAGATGCCTGTAGTCACATTCAGGGATTTTTTAAAGGCATATAGTTCTTTTTTCCCTGCAGCTAATTTCTATTCTTTAACCAGAATGCTGTCAATGCTATAGAAGTAGCAATAGCAGCATGACGGGCAGACACACTCTCCTCTTTTATATACCAATTCCAGTTTTGTATGTGTTTATGTAGAGCAGCAGGCTTTGTATGTGTTTGCTTTCTGTGCGTGTCTCCGCCAAAACACCCCAAGCAGAACCTGACGCCCGAAGCCCCAGAGGAGTGAATTGATAGGCCTGCGTCTGTGAGCTTGCTTGCATTCCAACTGTACCGGGTAATGCCCTGAGACGGCCTGCCGCCCCTGCCTCCAAGTCCACCTGCCATCGTGGACAGATGTTGACAGCTGAGGCCAGGAAGCGATTTACCCAAAGCTGAGAAATTGTCGCCTTCTAGCCCCGTAATGAGGCCTGGGTTCCATGAGTGACTAGAGTTGACAGAGTAAGTGGAAAGCAAGGCTCTAATTAGTGGATTTGCTCCTGGGTCTTCCCCACGCTTGACACCAGCCCCCACGTCAGCTGGAGCTGGACCAGAAACGGCAGGGGTTGTTTTTCCCAAGTAGTTTTGCCAAAGGAGTCGGCCGGTTGGGGAGCGGCTGCCAGGCCTTGGGAGTAGGCAGCTCCCTGGGCTCCAGCTCTGAGGCACCTCTCTGAGCCTCAGTTTCCATATCTGTCAGATGGGGTCAGGCCAGTGCCCCCGTGAGCTCAAGCTTCCACGGTCTGGATTGAAGGCAGTGGTCACTCGGGGGTGGAGCAGGTTGGGTGGGGAGCTCGTCCTCCTGGAAAGTAGATGATGTTACTGCTGGACCTGCACCTCTGCTGAAAACCCAGCCACGGCCCCCTTTGTCACATTTGGAATGAAACAACTGGCTCCTTGGCACACCCTTCAAGATCCTGCGTGACCCAGTCCTGCCCTTCCGGCTAACTCCCCGGCTCCCCACCCTCCGTGCGCACTGGCCTTCTTCCCTTGTCTCAGATGCTGCCAGCCTGGACCCTCCCCGGGGCTTCGCACGTGCCACCCCGCTCCCTGGAGCCTCCCTCCCCCATGGGCAAGTGCCTCGCTCGTTCTCGTTTCGGTCTCCCCTCGTAGGCCGCCTCCACAGTGGGCCTGCCCTGACTACCGGGGTTCAGTGAACCCTGCCCCCACCCCTCCTCATCTTAGTTCTTACAGGCATTAGCACTGAACACAACACGAACTGTCCGTCTCCCCCACTGGAAGGTCCGCTCAATAATAAATGACCAGCCAGGTCTCTCTAGTTTCCCGCTACCGGTAGGTCCTCAGTAGGAAATCTTCGGAGTGAGTGAATCAGTCTGCCAGTGAGTTCATTAATTAACTAAGAAGTTCATTCATGACGCTAGCTGGCCCTGTCCCTCCTTAGGCTGAAGCGTCCCAGCCTGCGAGTCTGTGTTCCCTTCCCCTTTCAGGAAGTGGCCAAGAAGATGAACTTGGACATGAAGAGGACGTCCTCCCTGTGGAAGGACCAGGCGCTGGTGGAGATCAACATTGCAGTCCTCTACAGTTTCCAGGTAGTGCCGGGGCCTGGCTGCCAGGCCTCAGAGCAGAACTAAACCTTCCAGGGCCTTGGGGCGCAAGGGTCAAGAGCCTCACTGCCAGGAACCACCTCTTGGGGGGATCTGTTCGCCAGTGGGGTGAGCATGCCTTGCTCACCATTGTCGGTCTTGGCGTGGGCGTTTGAGAGGGAGGTGACCCACAGGGAGGCTGTGACTTGTCGCCTGTGATTTTTCAGATTGGTCGTGGCAGGCCTCAGCTGTGTCTTCCTTAGGGACTCAGACTGTCACCCAGCAGGGACACATGTGGCCCCTCGATGCATCAGCCCCGTGGTAGATGGTGTTGATGGCAGAATGGTATACAATCTATCATGGAGAGCAAAAGAGGGGCGCCGCCAATACTTGTGCTGTGGACAGTGGGCATCAGCCAGGGTTCTTCCAGGCAAACCAGGAGACAAATAGAAGTCACGGCCTATAACTGAGACGAGCCCTGTCCCCTCTGGGGGCGGGCAGTCTGGGAAGCTGGACCCTCCTGGACATACCTGGGAGGCACACACCGTAGAATGAACATACCCAGTCTCAGACACACGAACATAAACCACAGGTCCCCACGTCGGGAGCCGGGTGAATGGGGGCACCGAGAACATCCCGGGGGGGAGACACGTTGAGGTGGGGCCAGGGAGGGAGGGCGATTTCAGGAGTGCTTGGAAGTGGTGCAGTGCAGTGTGGTTGACCAGCGTGGAGACCGATGAGCCGGAGAGAGCAGAGGCGCAGGAGATGAGTCATTAAAAAAGACGAGTTCAGCGAGGGGGCAAAGGTTGTGGACAGAGAGGGAAAGCGGTGACTAGGTAAGGTGTGAATCCCAGCCAGCTGGGCTGCCGGACAGGCCACCACCGCTGCTGTGACTGCCTTGTTTTAATTTTAATCAGCCCAACTTTATTCGTTTACATGTTGTAAGAGGATTTTTTTGGTATCACCACCATGAGTGGAGAGCCGAGATCAATTGCCATAAATAGAAGAGAATTGTAAATTTAATAAATAAACAAATAGAAGAAATAACAAAACAAAGTTCTTGAATTCTAACCAGATAGGAGAGAGGTTCTTTCTCCTCATTTGAAAAAAAAGGGGGTGGGAGAGGAGAGAGGAAGATTGGTAGCAAGAGAGGCGTTCAAGGTGCCTCAGCACCAACCAGAGGCCTCCCCTGGGCACGATCGGGAGGGGAAGCACGGAGAAGCTCTGGGCACTGCCTGAAGTCATCGCCGCTCTGTGGGGGAGCCCTGAAATCCCCAGCCTTCTTACCTCCTGACACCTCGTCCCCTCCCTACCCGCAGAGTGACAAAGTGACCATCGTCGACCACCACTCGGCCACCGAGTCTTTCATCAAGCACATGGAGAATGAATACCGCTGCCGGGGGGGCTGTCCCGCAGACTGGGTGTGGATTGTGCCCCCCATGTCTGGCAGCATCACCCCTGTCTTCCACCAGGAGATGCTCAACTACCGGCTCACCCCCTCCTTCGAGTACCAGGTCCTGCCCCCTCCCTGCCTCTGTTCACGCTAAGTCTCTGGTGCCCTTGTGTGTTATGCTTGGGGCAGGTCTCAGTCCAGGTTAGCCCTTGGCCACTCAAGTGCTCAGTAGCCGTGCTTGCTTGGTGGCTACCACGCCGGACAGCACAGGTCCCGCTGGAAGACTAATGGAGATGAAAGGAGTAGTCTGGGGTCTCAAGGAAAGTCTCAAGAGGGACCAAGGGCTGAGTCGGAGGGTCTAGCAGGACAACGCAGGGAGGCTAGACCAGCCACTCTGCTCGAGGACCCCTGTGGTTGCCACCAGCAGGACCACTCCCTTCAGGGCTGGGGGTTGGGCATGGCTGGGCAGCCACAGGCTCCCAGGGGGTCCTGAGCATGTCCTGAGAGGAGCCAGCTCCCTCAGTGTGGTAACCTTAGTCCTCTCTTCCCAGCCTGACCCTTGGAACACCCACGTCTGGAAAGGCACCAACGGGACCCCCACAAAGCGGCGAGCCATTGGCTTCAAGAAGCTGGCAGAGTGAGTGTCCTGGAGTAGGTGGGGGATGCACGTGCCCCCAGACCCAGAGAACCCCAGGGAAGGAGGCCAGGCAGACAGCCGTGCCTCTGACCTCCTGTGTGAGAGGAGGTCTCTCCTCTCTCCGGCCCCGCCCCCAAGCCTTCTTCGCCTCCCAGTCTGGGGTGTGAACATCCCCACGGCACTTCTTCCCAATCTCACTTTCCTCGTCCAGTTTCGTAAATTATTTTCGGGAGGCAGCGGTGTGTTAGTAAACCAGCTTTCCTAATAATAGTAATAGTGGAAGCAATAATAGTAGATTTGTAATGTTTGCCCATTGCTGCAGTATAAATACTCCTGCTGCGGCCAGTTTTAAGCTATCAGTAGGCTGTCGTTGGATACGTAGCAGCCCGGAGCTCCAGAGGTCACTGCCCACCAGGGGTGTCCAACCTTTTGGCGTCTCTGGGCCACACGTCAAATACACAAACACTAACGAAAGCTGATGAGCGGAAGGTTTACCTAAAACGGGTTTGTAAGTAACCAGCCTCAGGGAGCAAGCACAGCCTTTGGCTTCTGTTCATTTCGGCTGTCTCTGGGAGAAGGAGGGAGGGAGAACTCTAAAACATTAATTGCACTATTAAGTTTGGGGTAGAAATAATGGAAGTTAATTATAGCTGCTTCTTAATGCTTCCATCATTCAAAGGGAACCCCCCCCCACCAGGCACCTTTTATTCCTCTCTGTTTCTCCCCCTTAGCCCAACCAAGTGCTCCTGCAGCGTGGGTGGTCTCCCCACTCTAAAAAATGATGAATTTACCGCCGATAATCCCCAGGTGGGAGTAATTAACAATTTGTCTGCAGGGAGATGCCTACTGAGAGTGGGGACGCCTGCTCGGAAGGTGAGCCCAGACGTTCTGAGGCTCTGGCCTGCCTGCCCCCCCAGGCCCTCGTGGGCGGGAAGACAGAGCAGGGCTTCCGAGCTCTCCTTCAACCGCAGAGCCGGGACTTGACACCTGCACCCCGAGCGCTGGCAGCATCTTTCCACTTCGTTCCTTCGTTTACTAGATACGTGTTCAGTGCCCGCTAGGGGTCAGGCTCTGTGCGAGCCCCTGAGTATGCGGGGCTGGCCAACCTGGACTCGGTCCTTCCTTTGGGGGCCAGTGTGCCTCTAGAAGCCCTTTCACTCAATACCTGGTGATTAGTTAGTGATTCATTCCTTCTGTTCTCGGTAACACACACTCACACTCACACGCACACTTATGAAAGCCCCCTGACAGCTGCTTGTCCTTAGAGAGAGAGAGAGAGAGGACATTCTCTATGTTCTTCAGCTCCCATAACGGTGCCCGGCTCCCAGGCACACGAGCACATCCGATGAACGAACGCGAGTGTGTGAGTGAACGGTCATCTTTGCAGGACAGTGCTTGGCAAAGCCAGGTTCTCAGGGCTGAGGCAGACCCATTCAGTAACAACCCAGCAAAGCGAACCGACCATTTTAGCTCCTGACTCGTGGTGCTGCAGGGACTTAATAAAGGGGTTGGATGGTGCCTCAACTCTGGCTTTGAGTGTCCCCGCGGCCACCCAAGGTCAGCAGAAGTTCTCTCTAGTTATATTTCACAGATCATGGTTCTTGCCCAAAAGTTGAAGCCTGGCATTTCCCAATATCTTCTCCATCCTCTTCCTCCCAGAGCCGTCAAGTTCTCAGCCAAGCTGATGGGGCAGGCAATGGCCAAGAGGGTCAAGGCAACCATCCTTTATGCCACAGAGACGGGCAAATCACAGGCCTATGCCAAAACCTTGTGTGAGATCTTCAAACACGCCTTTGATGCCAAGGTGGGTAGGGGACACGGGCAGCTCTCCAGCCCCTTGGGGTGAGTACAGTTGGGAGGGGAGACAGCAAGTTCCACAGAGTGGTACCTTTGAGAGTGGACGCACCTACACTCACATTTTCATGAATTCCAGCGACTGTGATGCCCCCTCCCTGCGAACCATCCAGGGGTCCAGGAATCACAAACTGAAGGCCCCCTATCCAGAGCAAAATGTTCGAATTCGTGAAACTCAATCTGGAGTCATTTTAAGAAGCGCTGCATTAACTACAGTTCAATGGTCCTGGCTAGTGTGGCTCAGTTGGTTGGGGTGTCAGCCCGTAAACCAAAAGGTCACAGGTTCAATTCCCAGTCAGGGCAGATGCCTCCGCTGCAGCTTCGATCCCTGGTCAGAGCACACGAGAGGCAACAATTGGCGTTTCTCTTTCACATCGATGTTTCTCTCCCTCCCTTTCTCCCTGCCTTCCCCCGCTCTCTAGAAATCACTAAAAAATTTAAAATGGAAGTAAATACAACTCAACGGGTTTCTTGCTGCAAGACTTCTCAGAGCCTGTGGTCTGCACGTATGTGGTGTCATCTCCAAAAGAGGAGGGCAGAGGATGCAGATGCTTCCCAAACATGGTGGTTTGTGGCTCTCGTATCCTCGAGGAGCCTGTCCAGAGACTAGGCTTCCTGAGAACCTACTTCGAGAAGTGCTGCTCAGGCGGTGCTAAGACGCAGGCAACAGTCTTTCCCTAAAGCAGGCACCTCCGACGTGTCGGGCCCAGGTCCTGCACACCGCTGGGCAGAGGGTTAGAAAGGAGGCTGGGCGCACAGTGGGTCAGACCAGCCAGCCAGGTCATTCCCAGCCTAGATGTGCTCAAGGACATTCCAAGAGCAGTTGGTTATCAAAAGCTTCAGGGTCTCCAGCAGGATCTGTCTCTGCTGGCATCCCACCCCTTACACCATGCCTCAGATTCTTGGTGGTCCTTCAGGCCACGGAGGCCGCAGAAAGGTGCCACCCTACTAAAAAGCTTTCGGTTCTAAACACTTAGGCCCATTGAAATAGTGACGCCCAAAACTTTTGGTTTTTCCAAACAAGATGGCTCAAGATGACTTCTCTCTCTCTCTCTCTCTCTCTCTCTCTCTCTCTCCCCCTCCCTCCCTCCCTCCCCCCTCCCCCTGCTCCCCTTTTCCTTCCTCCACCTCTTCCTGTTCTCTCCCACCTCCTTTTGCTCCTCATCGCCTCTTCCTTCCTCTCCCCCGCCATTCTCCCAACCTAGGTGATGTCCATGGAAGAATATGACATTGTGCACCTAGAACATGAAACTCTGGTCCTGGTGGTCACCAGCACCTTTGGCAACGGAGACCCCCCTGAAAATGGGGAGGTAAGATGAATTTTCACGTATTCTGGCATGTGTTTCCATCAGCAGGAAGATGGGGGGGCTACAGTTACACTCGCTGTTCAGTAGCAGATCATCCCAGAGCCTCAAAGACAGTGATTTCAAGCCCTGGCCAGTGTGGCTTAACTCGTTGGAGTGTCTTCCCATAATCGAAAGGTTGCTGGTTCAATCCTGGGTCTAGGTACATAAGATCCCCAGCCTGGGCATGTGAGTCAGTGCTCCTCTCTTGCATCATTCTCCCTCTCCCTTCCTTTCTCTCTCTCAAAACAATGAAAAAATGTCCTTGGGTGAGGATTTTTTTTAAGTGATTTCAGTTTGGATCCAAGTTTGGCAAAGATTGGACAATTCCAAGTCCTCAGTCTATTGGTGTCCAGTGACTAGCTGATTCCTAGTGGAAATGCCCCCTGAGTGAGCTACTTCTTTGGAATGGGTGCTCCGACCCAGAGCTTGGCGTCCCCTGCTCTGGGTGAGAAAAGTGGGGACGGTATTTCTATAGTGAGAAAGCCACGGTGGGGCTTTGTATACTGGGGGCAGGGGAGTCCACACCTGCAGCCCTTTAAGCAGCTGACCCTTCCAGGTGTGTCCGCAGCTCACTCGTTGGCTGCCCAGCCCGAGACCCTGTCGGTCTCGGACACCCTGGCCCCCCCGGGCATCGGGCTCCTCTCTTTCCGGCGAGGACCCCAGACCGTCCGAGCCCAACCCTGTTCTGATTTTGTAGCCTGTGCTCCCCGTCTCACTCACCTCTTTTGGTCTGCAGAAGTTCGGCTGCGCTCTGATGGAAATGAGGCACCCCAACTCTGTGCACGAGGAAAGGAAGTAAGTGAATGACCCTCCAGTGTCACATGACACCTTGTGGGGGTAACTGGAACTTGTCTTTCGGCCCTTGGGCTTCTCCTTGAGTTCTGGATGGTTGGTGGTTGTGACCTGAAGCCCATATGTGGCCGGTTTTAGCAGGTGGGTGTCTGTGCCGCACTAGAGCCGAGATGTTGGTCTCGGACTTGAAGGTCTTGGGCTGGTCACCGCACAGCCCTGCGCCTCAGTTTCTTTTTCCATCAAATGCAGGTTATTACACCTGTCTGAACGTTCTAATTTGTGAGAATCAAATTAGAAAATAGATGTGAAGAGTTAACACTGTGTGAATATCAGTTCTTATCTCCCACCTCTGGAAACTGGCATTGAGAACCCGTGAACTGAGCTCCTTTCCCTGGAGTTTTCTCATCTGATGCTCACGATGGAGGGGCAGGTTGCATTCAACAGGCGGCAGCGAAATGCCTGTAGTCAGAGGGTGTGCGTGGTGCAGTTGCAGCTAACGCGAGGTCGCGTTCTAAAGATATTTCATGAGGTGTGAAACACCTGTGGTCAAAGTTGCCCTTGAAAAGCCCTAAATCCCCGGTAAAGCCGAGCACGTGCGGCACGGGCACACACGGCTGCCGTTTGAGGAGGCCGGCACAGCGTTTCCTCCAGCACAGGGGCCATCCCGTGTCCTCAGCTGAGCGCCGGCACTGCGGCTGGCCAGGACGGGCAGAAAACCCCTCCTGGTGTGCTTGCCGCCGAGCGCATGTTGCCAAACTCACATATGTTCCGTACCCAAGGGGTGGCTGAGTCCCTGCGCTCAGCCCTGCTCTGTGCCCAAGTCCAGCAGTCACTGTCCGAGCCCTCCTCCTTCCCACCTGGGTGGTCTCCAGCAGGTTCCCCTCCCCCTCCTTCAGGGAGAGATAGGGCGCCATCCATTCTCCCCTCTAGGTACCCGGAACCCTTGCGTTTCTTTCCCCGTAAAGGGCCTCCCCTCCCCCGAGGCGACACAGGAGTCCGTGGTCTGGCTGGAGTCCGTGACAGCCAGCTCAGGTAGAGCGTGCGTGTGCCGGTGTGCATGTGTGTGTGCATGCAGATGTTTGCGTGCACGCGTGTGCATGCGCGCCCAACGCCGAGACATCCAAGACCACATTCAGGTCTCAAGGAGGCCTGAGTTCTAACCCAGGCTGTGCCACTAACTCAGTAAGCAACCTTGAACAAGTCCCTAGACCTCTCTGGGCCTCAGCCCTTCTCATCTGCCAAATGGGGTGGAGCTCTCTCCGCCCTGACCACCTCTGGGTGTTATTGTAGGATCAAAGGGTAGCAACAAAGAGGAAGGCGCTGGAGAAACCCGCAGACCCCATGCAAATGCATGTGTTGTTATTCTTACCCACAGCCTCCACCAGCCACCCCCACGCTAACAGCACAGCCACCCCCTGATGTGTTGCATGACTTATTTGGAGGAGTGACTCAATGTGCGACTATTTTAGGGCAGAAAATACACTTACGTATATTTAGAACTTCCCCGATGCCAGAGCGAAAACTTTGAAGAACATCCAGCTCAGAAGCCCCGCTGCCAGATGGCGCAATTCCTTTTTTGTCTCCTGTGCTCACTCACGTCGGCATATTGAGTTTCTGTGTTGTGTTGTGTTTTTTGTTTTGGAGCTTGGGTTCTTTGTTTTGTTTGGGGTTTTTCGGGAGGGTCTTGGGGACATTTTAGGTTGTTTTATTTTTATATTAAATTCACTGGGGTGTCATTGGTTCTTAGGGCTGGTTTTGTTTTTTTTTTATGTTTTGTTTTTGCTCTGTCTGAGATCAAAACTTACCACTTTTCGAGGAAAACTGGGAAATCAGGGTTTTTTTCCTTAAGTCTCCAGGCTGGTGAGCCTCTAATGCTCAGGTTTGAGTCCCAGTAACATCTTCCTCCCCCTTCAAAGCAATTGAGTGAGAAACCCCATCTCCTTCCACGCCATGCATCAGTGCGGAGCACATTTCACGTTGGCTGCAAGTGTGGAATGTGCCAGGCCCTTGAAATGTCTGGGGACCGTAACTTTGAGGAGAGAGCACCACCCAGGCCCACTCCCTAGGATGCTGTGAACAGTCTGTATGTCTGCCCCAGCCTGGTGTGGCAGCCACCCAGCCACACGTGGCTGCTGAGCCTTTGCCATATGGCTAGTTCAAATGAGAAACAGAATGTTTCATTGTATTTAGTTTGAATTAATTTACTTTACATTTAAGTAGCCATAAGTAGCCAGTGGCTACCACAGTGGACAGTCCAAGTCTAGCTCCTGGCTACTAGCAGCATTAGCATCTCCTGGGTGTTCAATAGAAATTCAGAATCTCAGGCCCTGCTCTGGATCTCCTAAATCCGATCTGCCTAACAAGATCCCAGACTGATTCTCATGCACACTAATATCTGGGTAGCAGGGAAGCATGGTCCAGTGGTTAGGGGGTGGTCCATTCCTGACTTCTTGCCAGTGAAATCATTTTGGCTGTCCGGGTCTCAGTTTCCTGAGTGGAGTGTGGTCAGACACATTTTAACTCACACAGCTTCAAGTGCAGACGGCCGGCTCTCATTGTGGTGGGTGAGGGTAAGTTGGTACCTTGTAGAGGACGCCTCAGGCACATTATGGGCTCACTCATCACACAGCAGAGGGTCCCAGAGCCAGGACTGGTCAGTTGAAAATCCATTGGCATGTTGACCTCAGGAGGGGGCTCCAAGCCACAGCTCATGACTCTTTCTCATTCTGACAGGAGCTACAAGGTCAGGTTCAATAGTGTTTCCTCCTTTTCCGACTCCCGCAAATCATCAGGCGACGGGCCAGACCTCAGAGACAACTTTGAGAGCACCGGCCCCCTGGCAAACGTGAGGTGAGCAAGGGGCCAGGGCACCAGGGATGACGAAGGCTCTTGAAGAACTGGCCGCAGTTGCAGAGTGGGCTCTTTGTTGGGGGAGGGGGAGGCAGTCTCTCGTCCAAGCACATTCATCCCTCAAACAACCGGCTACCCCCTGGCTGCCCCAACTCCTCTTTAAATGCACGTGAGTGTCCCCATCACCCACGCTTTACCCCATCACACACAGTTTACTCCCCCATCAGCACATCATCTGTGATGAAGGATGTTGGCCCTAGAAATCATGCAATGAGCTGCCCTTCCCAAGGGGTATGTTTTACATTTAGTAGAAGCTTCTGGAGACCCACTGCCATAATCCAGTGGTTCTCAAACCTGGCGTGCATTAAAAGCATCTAGAGATGTTTGTAATGCACCCATAACCAAGCCCCACCTCCAGAGATTCTGTTGTAATTGGTCTAGAATTGGGCCCAAGCATTGCTTTTTAAAAAGAAAATCTCAGTAGATTCCACTGTGTAGTCAGATTCAGAAATGCTGGCCTAACCCTTGTGTTTCCAAAAGCATAGTCACGTGCCATGAGATAGCTTTAGGCACTACGTGGACGTGCGAGTCTATTTTGTGTTTCAGCAGTTGTGTATTCAGTTTAATGGACGCTGGGGAGGAAGTAAAACTGGTTGTCAAGCCCTTGGCATCACAGATGTTGGTCAAGACGATGCCGATATAAGCAGAGTATCCCGGCCCGGCCATCAGTAACTAAACCCTCCACACCAGCACAGGACAGTGCTCAGTAGGTGATTGAGATCACAGCGGCCCTAAATATGGGAGCATTGTGTCCATCAGCACACTTTTTAAACACTTATGTTTTAAGCCGTTTTAAGTTCACAGCAAAATTGAGGGGAAAGTACAGGGATTTCCTGTATACTTCCCGCCCCGCCTCCTGAACGCACGCACACACACACGAACAGCCTCATCCTCAGTCAACATCCCACACCACAGGAGCACATTTGTGTAACGGCTGAGCCTATACAGACACACCACGGCCACCCAAAGTCCACAGTTTGCATTAGGGTTCACCCTTGGTGCTGGTCGTTTTTACAGGTTTTGACATCAGTACAGATTTTTAGTTTCACATCGAAACATCAGCTGAACCCTGGCTGGTGTGGCTCAGTGGATTGAACACCCGCCTGTGAACCAAAGGGTTGCTGGTTCGATTCCCAGTCAGGGCACATGGCTGGGTTGCGGGCCAGGTCCTCAGTGAGGGCCACGTGAGAGGCAACCACACACTGATATTTTCCTCCCTCTCTTTCCCTTCCCTTCAGCCTAAAAAATAAATAAATGAAATCTTGAAAAAAAAAAAGAGAAAAGAAAAGAAACATCACTTGCATAGTTCAGCAGCCAGACCCGTTTTTCCCTTACCGAAGCTACCGTGGCTTAGAGCAGGGGACTGCAGGTGACGCTGGCGGCCCGGTCCTGCCTGGCCGCTGAGGGTCTGTGCAGCCACGAGCCGGGAGTGGTTCTTACAGATGGGTGTTTGCAGTCCATTTAATGATATAAAGAAAAACACGGCCTGTGAGCCCCAATTAAGCAAAATACTATCTTCCACAAAAAGATTACATTCTCATTAGTAGACATATATTACTAAAAATTGCACTCAGCTATAATTATTATCATTGCTATTATTATTATATTTTGTCAATTAAAATGTAGAAATTTGTTGTTATAGAAGTATTTACATAATAGTTTCAATTTTGCTTCTTCACCTACAAGTTTAAAAATATTTACTCTCTGGCCCCATGTATAATAAGTTTGCCAACTTCTGGTTTAGAGGCTTAAAATAGGAGTTTCAAAACCATAAGGTAAAGGCTGTGATGGGAATGTGAGTCTAGGAAGAGACTACGATGCAGGTCTTCAGGTGCATTGGGAAGCGTATTAATGAACTAATCACTTGCACCATCTGTTAGTGAACGCAAGTGGGCTTGATGAGCTAGTAAGCACAAATTAAAAGCAGGTTAAACATGCTAATAAGTACCTAATGGGGTCGGTGGTAGTCCAGCATGGCGGATGTCACAAATACAAATACTGGAGGCTCGAGGAGCAACGCCTTAGCCACACAGCACGCCGGTGCTGGGAGTTTCCAGATCTGCTGAGGCTAAAGGCACCCCTCCAGCCAGTCCGCTCCTGGCCAGCCGCCCCTCCTCCCCTTCAGGAGCCGAGGTGAGGAATCCAGGTTCAGGATGAGCACAGGTGGAGGGCTGATGAGGGAGAGCACTGCCTAATCTCACAGACTTCCCTCGGAAACGCTCTGGAGCCCCAGGGGGAAGAGGAGGGCAGGAAAGAAGGGGAGGATAAGAGCAGAAAGCATGAATATGGACTTGAACGGAGTGGGTATGAACCTACGTTAACTTCCGTTTGACCTCTGAGACCCCTGGACCTAGCTCAAGTTCATTCCCCAACAATGGAGAGTTTCTCCCCCACTTCTCCTGCCTCCTTCCCTCCTCCCCCATCTCAGCCTCTCACCGTCTTGGCCCCCTCGTCCTAGAAACAAGATTCGGGGACAGAGCCAGACCCTGCTCCACTCCGTGGCTTGTCAGCAGAACACTCCAACCTGGGAAAGAAGCAGGGTGGGGCATGCTCAACCCACTCGTGAACCTGTCATTTCCGTTCCAAAGAGGTCAAGACCTACAGCCAGGGCCACACCCCAGAAGTGTGACATCGAGTGTCTGTAGGACACAGTGAATGAGCCGGGGGGCCCCCGGAGGCACAGCCCTCCACTTCCCACACTTGAAAGCAGCCAGTCCTGTCCCGACATGGACAAAAATCCCTCCAACTTGACCCCCACCCATTCAAACAGCAACATCTTCTTGGGGGAGTTATGGAAAGAGGGTCTGTGGAAGCTAATGAATTTCATAGACAATGTAAGGGGTGGAGCCAGCATGCCCATCAATCTTTCATCCTCTTTTAGAAGAGCCTGTTCACAGACCAGCATTTGGTGTGTTAACTAACAAGTCCTCATTCATACAGGTCCCCGAGGACCTCCGTGTTATAGCGTTCATTGTCTTTGTACTTAAACCTGATGCAGTTCTGTAGAATTACAGCACTTGCAGAATTTAAGCCTCCTGATAATGTGGACTAATTCCCCCAATTAGTCCAGCTTAGAAAGGGACACACAGGATTGTCAAGGGTTCTGTGACTGCTGGCCCCCGCTCATCCTCCTTAGGACAAACGGGGAACTTGCTCCTGAGACCAGAGGAAGGGGGTCATCCCAGGGGCCCTCAGATTTAATAATGGCCTCCCCCAAACAGGCTTGGGGTTGCCTGACCATCAGGCTAAACTCAGTCCTTCCGTAGATACCAGACGGAGTAATCTGCTCAGGTGGCCATAACAGAATACTATAGACTAGATGTCTTCCACAACAGAGTTATTTCTGCTCAGTTCTGGAGGCTGGAAGTCCAAGGTTAAGGTGCCAGTGGGACCAGTTTCTGGTGAGGCCTCCCTTCCCAGCTTGCAGACAGCCCCTTCCCGCTGTGTCCTCACATGACCTTCCACTGTGCACGTGCAGAGACAGTGAGAGGGCATCCGATGTCTGCCCGCTCCCAAGGACACCAGTCCTACTGGGCTAGGGCCTTAAGGCATGGCCTCATTTAACCTCAGTTACCACCTTGACGGCTTCATCTGTGAGTGCACTTACATTGCGGGGCGGGGCCTCCACATACGAATTTTGGGGAACAACTTGTATTCCTAACACCAGGCACTCCCAAGACCCCCAGTGTCCCTTAACGCAGGCTGTCTGTTCTCTTCCCCATAGGTTCTCGGTGTTCGGCCTTGGCTCGCGGGCCTACCCCCACTTCTGCGCCTTCGGACATGCCGTGGACACCCTCCTGGAGGAGCTGGGAGGAGAGAGGATCCTGAAGATGAGGGAGGGGGACGAGCTCTGTGGGCAGGAGGAGGCGTTCAGGACCTGGGCCAAGAAGGTCTTCAAGGTAACCCCCTTCCCAGATCCCAGAGACCTGGGGGGAGAGGCCATGCTCCCCTTGACCCCCAAAGACAGACTGTCTAGCTCATCTGAAATCGAGGGAACTTGAGAGAACCCCTGGTCCGTCCCCCAGTGTCCACTTAGGAGACAGTTTCAGTCAACTCAGACGCATTTGGGTGGCCTCGAGACACATTCTCTACCCTGAATCCCAAATGACTGCTCTATTTTGCCCTGGCTAGTGTGGCTCAGTGGATTGAATGCCGGCCTGGGAACCAAAGGGTCGCTGGTTGGATTCCCAGTCAGGGCACATGCCTGGGTTTTGGGCCAGTCCCAGTAGGGATGCATGAGAAGCAACAACACACTGATGTTTCTCTTTCTCTCTTCCTTCCCTTCTGTCTAAAAATAAATAAATAATCTTTTTAAACAATAAAAGATTGCCCTGTTCTATAATAATTTGAGATTATAGAAAAGCCACGAGGATGGACAGAGAGTTTCCTTGGCCCACCTTGCCTGGCTGTTAACATAACAATGTACGCTTGTCCAAACCAGGACTACTGGTCCCGTGACAGTAACTAAACTACAGGCTTTGTTCAGACTTGCCCCGTTTTCCCGCTGACGCCCTTCTCCTGGGTCAAGATCAGGTCCAGGACACTGTGCTGCATTAAGTCGTAATGTCCCTCCCATCTCCTCAGCTGTGTTTCTCAGGTTTTTTCTTGAAACATGGGAAGCGTACTGGTGAGGCACTGTGTCATGTGTCCCTCAGGTTGACGTTGTCTTGTGTTTTCTCAAGCTTAGAGTAGGGCGGTGGGTCTGGGGAAGAATAGCACAGAAGCGAGGTACATTCCGTTGCCTGGATATACTACGCTGCTTTACCCATTCATCAGTTGATGGACATTTGAACCATCTGAAAATCAACACGAGGCCAACAATTGGTAAAAGTTGCCCTTGAAATCCTTTTGAATTATCCATGGCTTTTATCTCAAAAAGATAATTCTGAACAGTAAGTGTTAGGATTACTGAAGTTGGAGAACTTATGAACTTGGCCAACCAAACCAAACCAGTCATACCTGCAGGGATGCAGACAGTCAGTGTGTTCTGCCTTCAAAGTGACTTTGTAAAACCCACAGAGGAAGATGGACAGGAAATTCTGAAGCGTTTCCTTTCTTGGTCAATGTCAGGCCCTACACGTGTTGGTTTTAGAAAGAAGTGACACAGAGTTACGTACCAGATATCAGGTCCTAAGACAGAGAGTCCAGGGCATCAAAGGCACTCGAGGAAACACAGGGTGGGTCAGCGGGTGGGCGGTGTATAAATGGGCGGGAGGGGGGGCAGGTGGGTGGGGACAGATGGGTGGAATACGGGACACGTGCCGCGTCCCGCAGCGGCTGGAGAGGAGTCCCCCTCGGCCGACAGCGGCCCCTAAACGCCCGTGTGTGCCGCAGGCAGCCTGCGATGTGTTCTGCGTGGGGGACGACGTCAACATCGAGAAGGCGAACAACTCGCTCATCAGCAATGACCGCAGCTGGAAGAGGAACAAGTTCCGCCTCGCCTACGTGGCTGAGGCTCCGGAGCTCACGCAAGGTGCCCCTCCCCCGCTCTCCCTGTAGCGTTCTTGACAGTCGGGGAGGGGGAGTCAGGGGCTCTCCCCTCTGCCCCGTGCTAGAGAAGGTGGGTTTCATTGCTTCGATCTGCCCAAAATGAGTCCACTGTTAGTGGCCCACACCCCGTGAAACCTGTGCACGGCGTTTCTCTCCCCGGGAGTGGGGGGCGTTACCCTGAAGCCCCCTCCTCTCAGCCAAGTCGCAGCAGATTCGCTCTGTGTTCTGCGCTACCCACAGCTTCGCCCCACCTCAGCCAGGGCCTGCCCGACGGCTTCCCTGTTGTCCCTTCACCGGACTCCACAGACAGTGGGCGTGTGAGGGGAGGGTTGGCAGATGCTGCAGGCGTGTTACTGGCCACGTTAAACACGGGTCAGGAAGACTGTGGCTTTTCTCCCCGCAGGTCTCTCCAGTGTCCACAAGAAGCGGGTCTCGGCCGCTCGCTTCCTCAGCCGTCAAAACCTTCAGAGCCCCAAGTCCAGGTAGGAACATCTCGTGCCCTCGGGCTCCCCGCCTGTGCTCCTCCGGCAGCCCCCATGGGAAGGCAGGAGTCCTTGCTGACTCCGGCGGCTGCTTTCCCGTGAGCAGCCCAGGTGCCCCAAGACTCCTTTGCTGCTCTGCAACCTCTCGGTTGCCTGCTTTTCCTCTGCCAGCGCTCAACCTGGAGGGACAGAAGAAGGAGGTGGTCACGATCACTGTGGAGAGGGACAAGAGAATGGTTTCATAAAGAAGGTTTAAATTAGCAGACCGCTCCCTGGTAGAGCTGCTTATTGTACCAGAGCATCTTAGTCCAAATCACTTAGCCCGAGCACTTCTCCTTGTGGAGGATTCTTCGCTCAGGAGTCCTACTTAATTCCTTAGGAATGATGGGAGGCTCATTACTGCACAGAACAGCAACTGTGCATTTTGAAGTCCTGATTGTTAGAAATGATCTTACTATAGCTTAGAATCAAAGCACAACTTCCTAGCCCGTCGTTTTCATCCCAGGGACACGCTGCAGTGACGCTCAGGACAAATTCGGCTCTTCCAGAGGAGCCAGATTTGGCCGCCAGGAGCCAAGACCTTGACCAGTCTGTCCTCGGCCCTGATTCCTTCCAACTGCTCTTCCCAAAACCTGGTTTTTCATGCTTTTTGCTTTAGTAAAAGGACACACTCTGTCCCTGTGGAAGTGTCATTTTCGGAACTGGTCACAGTGCAGTGGAGGTCCTGGGATCACCGCCAAGGGCGCTGCAGCTATTATTGCCGTCCCTGATCAGAACACGACGCACCAGCGCTGCCCGGGATCGCAGGCGCTGTTCTGACAGCTTGGGGGTTGCCATCCAGTCTTTGCAGAGGGACCAGCCAGCTCTGTCTATCCCTCACTTATGTACTAGTACAGTTTTCAGCGCACGTGAAGATCTCTTGAAATCTTGACTCTCTGCATGCATGGCCTAGGACAGAGTGTTCTTCCGAGCTGGACGGCCCTGGCTTCTGACCCCAGCGCTGCCGTGCGGTTAGCAGTGTGACCTCAGACAAGTCCCTCGGGTCCTCTGATCCCCGTCTCCTTGCCTAAAATGAGAACGGTGTCTATAAACATAGCTGCCGTTTACCTAGTACTCTCTTTGTCCTTGGCAGCATTTGAGCCCATTCTGTGCAGGATCTCTCAGCATTCTGACCAGCTCAGGAAGTAGGTTCCATTACCGTCCACATTTTCAGTATGAGAAGTGACTGGGAGAAAATGCGAGCGACTTTTTCAAGGTCACACGCACAGGGGGTATCTGGCTCCAGAGTCAGTATACTGAATGCCCGTGCACGTAGCCTCCACAGCACGGCAGGGCTGCTGCACCGGAGACACGTTCTCAAAGCAGCACTGTGTCATGTGCTCCCATCACTGTGCATCCACGCCAGCTTCCCGCACTTGCAAATTCAGTCTGCGCTCGCTGCCACGGGCCTCCAGACTTTGATTAAGTGATCAACAGGGTGGAATCCCCGGGCTCTGATGTTCTCTCCAAGGCCCTCAGACACTAAAGAAGTAGGTGGGGAAATTGATCCCTCTGAATGGCCCGTCCAATGCAACATTCACAACGTAATCATCTCTGATAGAGGGAAGGACTCTGCACTTGAAATTCAGCAGCTCTTACTTTCCATTTCTGTCCCGTGCAAAGGTCTGACCTAAGTAGCATTGTAAGAGTAGGGACTAGGAATCGACTGGAGATTTCTTTCAGCAACGATCTGTGAAAGACCAGATTACAAAAATCACTCCTGTAACCACAGTCCATAAAAAGCAAGTTAGTTTGCAAATGTTTTGATGCTAAGTTGGACCGAAGTCCCAGAATAGCCCCCCTCCCACCTCTGGAAGGGCAGCTGCTCCGTGCTGATGGGCTCACCCAGGAGAGGTGCAACAGGTTTCGGGCTGGAAGGCAGTATGTGTTGGCACAGAAAGGACCAGACTGTGCCTGATGTTTATCTCTTTGAAAGCTTGCTCTGTAGCACTACCCGTTTTCAGGCTTACTGCCATTTTCAGCTTTATGAGGTTGTTTTTTTTTTTTAAGGTTAATTGAGTGAAAAACCATGATACTTTCTCCCATTTTCCTTGCCCAAGGCCCAAGCTGGGCTCAGCCCAGGAGGCCGTCAGCAAGCTATCACCCATCCCCCACCCCCACCCCGAGAGAGACCTTTGATTGCAAGCAAACTGCTTAAGAGGGAGTAAACAGACTTTTGAGAGTGGTCCTTGCAAATCTAAAGAGAAAAGTGACCACGGTTCCTGCTCAGCCAGTAAACAAATTCTCTGACTGTGAACACCTATTAGCAAACCATGCAGAAGAGAGTACAGTGGAGCGGTCACAGGCGAGGAGGCGTGGGTGTGAGTCCTGAGAGTCAGCAGGAGGAAGGAGGATGCGGGGTAGGCTTGCGCTGGGCTAGGGCAGACGGGGAGGGACACGACGAAGCAAGAATGGCAGGAACAACCGTGAGGAGGGGGCTGAGCCCCTGGCTCATCTCAGAGATTGGCGGGACCTTGCGACGGGGAGCTCTCCGTGGCTGAACTCTTGATCTCCAGCTCCCCTGGGATACCTGGTGTCTCTCCAGCCTTTGCCATCACAGCAGAGAACACCAGCCTCTGGCTTAAGCCCAAAACTAAATCTCCTCCTCGCTGCCTCTCCCCCTGCACACCCCACTCTCCCCTGCCACCTCGAGCAAAGCCATGATGACCTCTGGTCTGCGTGGCCAAGTTGCTCAGTCAGCCAGCCTGTCTCCCGCTTTCTTGGCTTTTCCCTCAAAAAATCCAACCTACAAACAGTGGCCAGAGTCCTCTTTTTAAAATGTACATGGAAGCCTAGCCCTCCTCAGCCTCACAGCCTCCCCTGGCTTCCCACTGAACCTAGGAAACTTCCACACTCCTTGCGTGACAGCCCGTGACCTCTGCCGGCTCTCTGGTCCCCCCCCCCCCCCACCCCCAGCCCTGAGTTGATCACTCTGCAAAGACTCCGGCCTCCTTTTCCTTCCTCGACCATGCCGCCCAGCTGCCCCCTCTGGGCCCCCTCACGTGCCGCTCCTCCTTCCGGGAACGCCGTCCCCCCAGAGATTTGCACATCTACTCCTCCTCATTGTTCAGGTCTCTGCTCATGTGTCAGATCACCAGGGAGGCCTCCTCGACCCCGACCAACCTATCGGATGCTCTGGCAGCCCACTGCCCCCAGCCCCTCACCCCCCACTCATCCCCGTCACCAACCAGTCTGAGACCCGTTTAAGTTACTTCCCAACGAAAGCAGGACACTTTGGGCTCACCCGTCACTCTCTCCTCGGTGCCCAGAATATTGTCTGACACGCAGCATCTATTTGTTGGATGAATCTAGTAACTTAGCCCGCTCTTGACAGATGACGTTTACCCTTTTCGTGGAAGACTGAACAGCAGTTTTTTTTCCTTCTTCATTTAATACTGGAAATTAGCAGACTATTCTTTTATCTGGAAACTTGACATCGGACCACTGCGCAGCGCGGGCAGGCAGACGAGTGTGTGTGTGTGTGTGTGTGTGTGTGTGTGTTATGCTTCCATAGGGGGGTATAAGTACATCACAGGCAGGGGCTGCTCTGGAGGAGGAGGCAGAGAAGGCCCAGATGGCTGCTGTCTCGCCAATACCTTCCTTCCTTTTCCCCCAGATACTTTCCAATGGTCTGTGTGTGTCTCGAGGTTATTTATTATTTTTGTTAAAAGCCTAGAAAATCCCACACTTGAAAACCCCCAACAGAACTGAGATTTAAGACAGCCTGTCTCCAGGCTAGTGCTACCCCAAGGGATTAGCTTCCTGCTGAGCTTCAGGACCAGCCCCTCAAGGTGCCCTGGGAGCCCACGGCCGTCCTGTGCTGGGGCTGTCGGCAAGCCATACCCCATGGTCAGTGGCTTGCCAAGTCCCCTCGGTCACGTCCCCAGCCCAGGCGGGGCCACAGCCCTCCTTCCAGCTAACCTGCCAGCTGCATCCCCATCTCTGCCCTTATCTGCCTGGCCACCTTCCTCCACGTTCAAGAACACTTGGGGCAAGTGGCTGTGAACGTGAGCCAGCTCAGCAAGTTCGTGCCCTCTGCATTTCTATTTTGTGCTGGCCCAAAGAACAGAGGCAAATACACTTCTGAAAGAAATCGTGATGATCTGAGAGAAAGTGGGAATGGATTTGCGGGCCTTTCCAAGGCTTGCTGTGGTTGGTTGTCTCAGGAGGTTCCCAAGTTAGCAGCCCCACAGCGCCCCCTGCTGGCTTTCGGCCTCTGCTAATTCCTGTGTGGAGCTAGCTGGGGGTCAGGTCTTTTCTCTCCAGGAATCAAGATAGGCGTGAGTTCCGAGCAGAATCTGGGGTGCAAGTCCAGATGATGGACAACAATCAGAGAGTGCCTAGGGAAGAAGTGTGGAACCCCAGACCCTAGTAGCGCCATTCGCAATCTCAGTCTCCAAGTTCCCACTATTCCAAGTACAGGGGCGCCTTGCTTCCAGAAAAGTATTTGGCACCCCAAAAAAGCAAGCATGCTAGCACAGCTATTTTTATTAATGCTGGCTGTCTGCAGCACCATAGGGCTCTTGGTTATACCAAAAACTCCTTTAAATAGCCAGTCCTGTTGGTGTATTCAAGTGTCGATTATCCAGGGGACAGTGTAGAAACTTCATGTTGAATGTCAAGTCCTCTATCAACTGAAAAGCTGTTGGCAATGAAGGAAAAGCAGATCAGAAGTATCAGTCGTGCCCCAAGGGGTACAGAGGATTTGGTTTACCGAGGTGCGCTCCATCGCAGAGTTTTCAGAGACTGTGTGAAACGTGGTGTCTCTACCAAAACTGTAAAGGGGCCAGGATATCCATAGTCCGAGAATTCGTTCTGGAAGCCATTCACCTAGCACAGGCCTCCTGCCCTTTAAACACAAAGACCAAAGCGAAAGGGCATGACCCGGCATGTGTAAGCGAGGTTCTCTCCGGGTTTCCTGCTTAGGTCTCTCAATTTTACTGTGTAATGTCGGCAAATTTCTAACCCGAACTTAGGGCTGGGTCCTTTGCCCTTCTTCCATGACAACATGAGGACCTCCAGCTGCAAAAGGGTGTGGAGCTTGGGATTCTGGGGAGGATGGAAAGTCACAGATTGGGGACCCCAGTGCCTTAGCTCCAATGGGGTAGTGGTTGCTGAGAGGACCCCCGCTGGTACTGAGAGCAAAGCCTGTTTTGGCAGCTGGGAATCTGAGGCTCCTTCAAACAGCAAATGCTTGAGCACCTACTATGCGCCATGTACTGTCCAAAGTGCCAGGAATAGAGCCGTGAACAAAACAGGCAGGCAAACGCCCTGTCCTCTAGAGTTTGCCTCGTCATAGGGGCCGGGGGCGGGCCCGAGCACAACCCACAAACCAGATAACAAAGAAAACTCTACTGTAGGTCAGCTGACGGTAACTGCTGTAGAGAAAGAAGGGCAGGGGCAGGAAGACAGAAGAACAAAGACGTGTTAGGACTGAACCCTGCAGGGATCCAGTGTCTAGATTTGGGGAGAGGAGAAGGAGGCAGCAAAGGAGACGGAGCCAGAGCAGCTGGAGAAGATGGGGGGAGTCAGGGGTGCTGGCATCACGAGAGGGAGGCAGCAAGCCACCGAGTCCCGAGCTGCACCCATGACCAGGTGCACTGGGAACTGGCTGCTGGATGTGCCTGGAGGAGCTCGTGGGTGACCTTGCTGAAGCCATGGTGGGGAAATGATGGGGACAGACGTCCTGTTGGCATGAGCCCCAAGGAGCCTGGAAGGAAGGAAACTGCAGTCACAGGCCAGGACGGACGAAGGAGCAAAGGGTGGCCAGTGGCCCTTAATCTGATTGTTCCCCGGTCCTTCCAGCCGGTCAACCATCTTCGTGCGTCTCCACACCAACGGGAATCAGGAGCTGCAGTACCAGCCTGGGGACCACCTGGGCGTCTTCCCTGGCAACCACGAGGACCTCGTGAACACCCTGATCGAGCGGCTGGAGGACGCGCCCCCCGTCAACCAGCTGGTGAAAGTAGAACTGCTGGAGGAGCGGAACACAGCTCTGGGTAACTACGGCCGCCCCGGCCACCCCGAGGGCCCTCGTCCTCTCCGGGGGAGAGGAGGCCCCTTCTTGATCCCAGTCACCAATCCAGGTAGGAGGGTGGGTCTCTGTCACCTCCAGCTTAGGAGACGGAAGCCTCCCCGTTTCCCCTGGCTGAAGCAGCCTTGGCCCAGCTGTCTGAGCGGTTGTCTGTGATGCCAGGACATGGGTGGCGCATCGCTGGGGGACACTGGTTTGAACGGGGCCCACTCCTCTTCCCCTTTCTGTCCCTGCCGCCCCACTGCCCACGGAGCAGACAGCAGCTGAAGTCGGACCCTGCCACCCCTTAGATCCCAAGGCACTGTATGAAACTCGATGGCCCACTAGGCCCGAACCACATCTCCGACCTCTTTAGATCGAGTTCAAACCCATTTCAGTGACCGTTCTTGACATTCCCACTGAAGGACTGGCAGAGGCACACGGGTCTCAGTGCTTCATCTTAGTAGGTGCAGGTGAGCTCAAGGCTCAGGTGCGAGGAACGGCAGTGACCTTGCATGGCAGCCTGCGATACAGTAACGCATCGCCTTTACAGAGGAGCCAGGGTGTAAAGTCAGGGCAGATAAGTAGTCAAGGCCCTGCTGAAAATCCAAGGAAGGCACCGCTTTGGAGAGACACACCTTCTCCCAATAAAGCCAACCCAGCCAGTCCTTAGTCTGCATTACATCTGGGCTTTTTTTTTTATCTTGAGTGTAGTCCCTGTTCAAGGAGAAGCTTGTGTTCAGAAGTTACATTGAATGAAAAGTACGCAGAGGCAGTACAGTGTGGTAGTTAGAAGACAGATGGCCTGACTTCACACTTACGTGCTGTGTGACCTTGGGCAAATTCCTTAACCTCTCTGTGCTTCCATTTATGTCACTTGGACAAAGGGGATAGTAATAGCACCTACCATCCAGGATGGTTGTGAGTTTGGGGAGATGAGAAGGATTATATGAGCTAATAGTACAAAGTGCTGAGAATAGTGCCTGCCACATAGAAAGTGCGAGGTAAGTGGTGAGCACGTTTGTAATTTTAAACTCTGGAATCCCACCCAGAGGAGTGAGAGGCTGGCAGTGCGAGAGGACAGACAGAGCCGAAATAGACTCCTAACTCACGCTCAGTTGGTGGCTCACCGCAGAGAATGCCAGGGGACCGCCTCATGCTATTTTAATATGTGTTTATTTTTTAATTTTTGGACTAGTGCGCTCAGTGGGGTTTGGACGTGCTCCTTGCACACAGGAGGTGCAGAAGTGGGATGTGGAAGGCGGGGAGGCGAGGGGCTGGTGGGCTCACCCAGCCCCACCCCGACTTGGACCCAAGCCCTCAGAGCTCAGCCCCTCCATCCCCCACCCGCCCTCCTAACTGCCATGGTGCCTCCACAGGAGTCATCAGTAACTGGACGGATGAGCACCGCCTCCCGCCCTGCACCATCTTCCAGGCCTTCAAGTACTACCTGGACATCACCACGCCGCCCACGCCCCTGCAGCTGCAGCAGTTTGCCTCCCTGGCCACCAGCGAAAAGGAGAAGCAGCGCCTGCTGGTCCTCAGCAAGGTGGGTCCCTGCAGCCCCAGGGGGTGCCTTTCACCTCCTAGTCCTTGCAGAGTTGTAGAGTATTGCAACAACTTTCCAGCAGATGGCAGTCTTGAGCAAGTAGTGCCATTTTCTCGTCTGCAGAAGGTTGCCATAGTGGCTAGTCCATCAGTCCAGACCATTTTGCCTGATCCTAAGCCCTGCTGGAGTGCAAGTGACCTCATTGAACCCCAGAGTCCCTTGAGCACAGTAGAAATTGCCGTTCCTCCTTCCTTTGGAGCGCTGGCGCTTCCATTACTTCCATCTTAGCCAATGCTTAGGGGGGAAAGAAACAGAACGTCACTGCGCCCTGTTTTCAAAGTAAGATGTTTCCAAGGCAGAGGAGCTGTAGGTAGGACTTGGAGATAAAGGAGGCCTCTGATGCAAAGGTGCAGCCAGCAAACACAGCTGCTACGACCCTCGCTTGGAAACTGGGGGCTCGTCTGCTTCAGACTGCTGCAAAGCCTTGCTCAGTAAGAACCCCACCCAGGAGGACCTCCCAGGCCTCTCCCAGTGGGGGCTCCTCCCCAGTGTGCAAGCCACCAGCCAAGGATGGTTTAGCTTTTTCTGCTGTCCAGGAGAGGGGATTGGATGGCGGTCTGCTTGGCAGAGGCTACTTCAAGAAGTGCATATTATTTAGAAATACAGAAATAGACAAGAGGAAAAACATTTGAAGAGTCGTCAGTGGTTACTTCTGGCAGCTGGAAACGTAGGGGAGGTGGAACAGAAGGGCATTACTTTCATCAGAAGTTTTGCAGAACGATTTAACTTTTTAAAGTGTACACTTCTCTCTAACATGAAGAGGATCCAGAGCTTCGCACCGGACTATTGGAAGTAGGATTTGATGTAACGGTATGGGTTTGTCCACTCCTTCCGAAAAGCATAACCTCCAAGGTTAACTGAGCAAGGATTTTTATTAGGGGAAATGCCCGTCTGAGGGGAAACGGAAAGGGAGGCAGACCAGCGGACCCCGAGTGAAGCAGAGGGAGGAAGGTTGAGTGAAGCGTCCAGGGCTGTGCAGCCGTCTGAGGAAGGACCGGCACAGGCGCGCACGTTGGTTCCAGGTGGAGGTTGGCATCGGAGAGCCGCTGCTGGGGCTCGCGCCCGGGGTGCCCCTGCGGTTGAAGGTCAGGGAGGCTGCAGGTGTGGGGGGCACCCTCTCCCAGTGCCACGCCCTATCAGTAGAGCAAGGGTGGTCTTCCGAGCCATGGGAAAAGACAGTGTTATACAGCGGGCTTTACCCCTCCTCAAAACCCGAACCTGCTAGCAGTGCTAAGGGACTGCCCGGGGCAGCTTCTGACGTGTAGGAGAAATAACTCCAGAGCCCCAGGGTATCCCTCTGTTTCCTAGCAACAGCTGGGCTTTGCTGTCGGCTCACCCTCGAAACACGATCCCCCACACCCTAACCTGTTCCTTCGGGGCTGTCATTTTCCACCTGAGCGTGCCCTCTGCAGAGGCACCTCCACCCTAGCAAACCCACAAACTGCACGTCTGCGTTGTGTACGTGCAAGTCATGACTCCCTGCACGGTGTACCTCTCCTGACCTTCACATACCGCCAGGGAGCGGAGTGGCCGGGAGCCCGGAGTCCAGGCCCAGACTGCCCAGGGCGAGGGCCCACAGGCAGGAAGTACTTCAGGCTCACGGTGCTCTTGGTCTCTGACGCCATCCGCCAGCCCTGCCACTGCAGCGCGGCACGCAGACACCACACCAGTGACTGTGCATGGCTGGGCTCCCTTCCAGCCTTATTTGTGGACGCTGAAGTTTGAATTTATATCATATCTTTGAGTAATAAAATAGTACTTTTCTGTTAACGGTCCCCCAAACCAGGTAAACGTATAGAGCAAGGGGTGAGCCGGATTTGGTTTGCAGGCGGAAGGTTGCCACCCCCTGACATAGATTCAAAACCCAGAATCACCACCTCGTAGCCCTGGGACCCCTCTCTCCCTCGGGTTCCTCACCTGTGAAATGGGTGTAACAAGCATACTTACTGCATAAGGTCCTAGTGAGCACTAAAAGCTAACATGGAATCTGTACTGTGTAAATGGTACCTGTGGCTGTTTTCACCTTCTTCCCCAAACCCACTCACGGTGTCGGTGGAAATGTGTACCAGGCTCTGAGTGCAAGTTTTCCCCTGCCCCTCCCCTTGGCACAGGGCTTACAGGAGTACGAGGAGTGGAAATGGGGCAAGAACCCCACCATCGTGGAGGTGCTGGAGGAGTTCCAGTCCATCCAGATGCCCGCCACCCTGCTCCTGACCCAGCTGTCCCTCCTGCAGCCTCGCTACTACTCCATCAGCTCCTCCCCAGACATGTACCCCGACGAGGTGCACCTCACCGTGGCCATCGTCTCCTACCACACCCGAGGTGGGCGGAGCTCCTGGGACAGGCTCTGGGTCTGCGCTTCCCCACTGCAGGACCCCTCAAGTCCCGAGTGCCTGGCTGGAGACCCACACCCATGGCCAGGAAACATTGGGAAGCAGCAGAACGGGCAAACTGTCCCCTTAGGCAGAGCCAACTCTGTGCAAATTAGGAAGTAGGCGAGATGGGCGTTACTCCCTCACACCCCCAAGGCAGCAGCCAGAACAAGCTACCACAACCCATCACCTCAGAGCGGGGAGCTCCCTGCTGCAGTGTCCAGCTGGTCATGGGTCAGTCAGACAGCCTGCCGTTTTCCTCCCATACTTTTCCTCCTTGATAAAGCAATTAAAATGCACGGTGCCTGAGAGCAAGCACCCTGAGACTGGGATCCCGGCAGCCCACAGAGGGCACACTGACCAAGGTCCTTTCAGTGGGCAGGATTTGAATCCCACTCACCCTCCCCAGCAGGAGCCTGGGCACTTCACAGCTCATGAGCCACCCCCAGCCTCCACCATTTCCTCTGCCCATTTAGAGGAAGGGGCCCAGACAGGGTACTCCAAGGCAGCAACTCGGCACTGGGGCCGGGAGCTTTCTGGACTGGAGGGAGGGGGGAGACCAATGACGGGGGAGCTTGGGAGTGGTGGGGGAGCCGGGCCACCTTGGTTATTCTGCTAGATGGAGAAGGACCAATCCACCATGGCGTGTGCTCCTCCTGGTTGAACCGGATCCAGTCTGATGAAGTGGTCCCCTGCTTCGTGAGAGGGTGAGTGGGAGACGGCGTGAGCAGCCGGATCTGCTCACCGATGTCCTGGGTTGGGGTGGGCGACCCAGCCCAGAGGGCTCCAGACAGAGGGCTGAATGGGACGGGCTCCACGTTCCGTATGCCTCCAAGCTGTTAAGGAAATGGGATCATGAGGCAGCACCTAGAAGAAGCTAAGGAAGTCCCCTAGTCAAGGTCAAGTCAATGCAACAGATGCGTGTTAAGAGCATGCACTCTGCTGGATGCTGAGGCTACAGTGGAGAATCAGGCAAATGCGGGCTCAGCCTTTGTGGATTCTGTAGACCAGGGGAGCTTGTACCCAAATTCTACGGGACACCCCGTCTGTCCCCAGTTTCTTGGAAACAGGGAAGATCCAAACAACTTCCCCCAAACCCATCAATCAGAGCCTTTCCTCCCAAAACTCAGTCTTAAAGGAAATTCCTGTCTGATCAACAATACTGATTGTGTGCTTAGAAATGTGTTAAGGAGGTAGATTTCATACTCAGTGTTTTTATCATAATCAATCAATCAATCAAAAAACCCATTATTTTGAAAAAATAAAAAAGAATATGCCTGAGCTTAGGCCTGTTGTAAGTATCTGCTTTGTCAATCAGTAACATCTCTGCTTGAACCGTGACCTTGGCTGGTGGGCCGCTTCTCTCAGCTGTTGGAGGTGGGATGCTCACGGGATGGTCCGCATACCTTCAGGGGGGCTTCAGAAGCACAGACTCCTAGCCCAGACTTAGCGCATTGCCCAGAAAACCTGCGCCACTTTCAAACCCCCCAAGTGGTTGTTTTGTGCCCTGGAGACTCCCGCTGATGGGAGACCTCGTGGACAGTTGGATCAGTGGTTCTCCATGGGGGTAATGTGCCCTCCCCACCCTGGCGACGTTTGGCTGTGTCTGGGGATGTTTTGGGTTGTCAGTGCTTCTGAGTGGGGTGGGGTGTTCCTGGAATCTAGTGAGTGGAGGCCAGGGGTGTGCTCGGCAGCCTGCAGTGCGCAGGACAGTCCCCACAACAGAGGAGTCCGCAGCCCCGAGTGGGAGCGGTGCTGAGGTGCGGAAACCCTGCGCCAGATGCACCCACTGCCCTTTGTGGCGCAGCTCAGCAGTGGGGATAATCGGGAAGTAGAGGGACAGCCAGGCACTAAGGCCCTCCTCTTGGAAGTCCCCGGACCCACGGGGTCTCCCACCCTGATTAGGGGCACCCGACCCAGGCTGCAGAGCTGTGGGCCCTGCCGTATTTCCACCCGAGACGGCCGCCTGGTCTACCCGAGACCCAGCTGTTCTTGGCCACAGTGGGCTCAGCAAGGCTCGTGACTCTCTCTTCCCTGTGCAGAGCACCCAGCTTCCACCTGCCCCGAAACCCCCAAGTGCCCTGCATCCTGGTTGGCCCGGGCACCGGCATTGCCCCTTTCCGAAGCTTCTGGCAGCAGCGGCAATTTGATATCCAGCACAAAGGTAGGTCCTGGGCCAGTAGCTACGTGGTTTCCACCGCCCGGGCCTGGCGAGACCCGCCTGTGCCTCAGCGGCCCCGAGACGTGTGACGGCATTATCGCTCCCCGGCATCGCTGCCTGGGGAGGGGCCGGGCGGCGGGCACAGCTCTGGCCTGACCCATGACGTGAGTCAGGAGACCTGACCCAACAAACCTTCTTCCTGGCTGTGTGAGGGCCTGGAATTCCACTTTTTTTTTTTTTTAACTGTTAAAACTCCAACAACTTGGGAAGGCGTGAGCATGAAGCCTTCTCAGATGGATGTGTGTATGGGATTCTCTCAGAGGCTCTCCTTCAAGAGCAGGCTTCGCGGCGGGAGATCTGAGCACACACAGACCAGCGCTGGGAGGAGAGGGGGAGAGAAAGCCGCAGGGTGGCGCTACACGGGGGTTTATCGAGCACCTGCTAAACGCCGAGCGCTTTTGTAGGCGCTGGGGGCGCACCAGTGAACAAGCCAGAAACAACTTCGGCACCACGGGAAAAGCCCTGCCCCTGTGAACTGTCACGCACGTGCACCGGCCACTGTTTGTGCCGTGTTTGCTGGGCACCAGGCAGAGCCCAGTGTCTGACATTCACTTCTAACAGTAACCCCTCAGAGGTCGCTGTTATCGTCTCCATTTGTACACGGGGGAGATGGAGACAGAGTTACAGCAGCCGCTCGTTGTCAGAGCTGGGGTTTGAACCCCAGCGGTAGAGCTCCAGACTCTGGGGTCTTAGCACTCCTCACACTGGGCAGGAGGGAAGATCGAGGCCCAGAGGAGGGGGGTTTGCCGCAGTCTGAACACAGCTTACCTACTTCCACGTGTGTGCATGTACGTGTAGTGTGCGGGAGGTCGCAGGCTGGCCTGCCCCAGCATTCTCGGACCTCTGTCCCCATGGTGGCTGCTGAGGTTCCCAGGAACCCCGCCCCTGACACCACCAGCCGCCCCCAAATCAGCAGAGCCAGTGACGACCGGACATCTTCCGGTCCCCAGGAATGAGTCCCTGCCCCATGGTCCTGGTCTTCGGGTGCCGGCAGTCCCAGATAGACCACATCTACAAGGAGGAGACCCTGCAGGCCCGGAGCTTGGGGGTCTTCCGAGAGCTGTACACGGCCTACTCCCGGGAGCCGGACAAACCAAAGGTAATCTCGGCTCCTGCACAGTCCCCCAGCCCCGCTCACACACGGGCACACCCATGCACACCCCCCGGGACCCCCTGCCCCCCTGGAGTCCTCCTCTGTGACTGCTCTGCACTTCAGGGAGCATGGGGCCTGCGAGGGACAGTTTAAAGTATTTTACAGCCCCCGGTATATGCCACCGCTCCTGTGAAATACGCAGAACAGCCAAGTCCACAGGGGCAGACCTCGGAGTGGTGGTGGCCAGGGGCTGTGGGGCGGGGGAGGGAGGAGTGACCTGTCGCCAGTACGAGGGCTCTGCTGGGGTGACGAGGAGGTTTGTCACTACGTAGCGGTGATGGCTGTGCGACACTGGGAGTGCATTCATTAATGCCACTGGGTCGTGCACTGTAAAATGGCTAAATGGTAAATTTTAAGTTACGTGTATTTTAAAATACACAATACCGAATTTTAATGTGAATTAAAAATATATTTAACAGCCCGTAAGAAACCCTACCAGTCCTAATGGGCATGGCCACAGGACTGCAGCATGCTCCTGCCGGATCCTGGGGAGGTCTGGGGTGGGGAGGAACCCCGGGAAGTGGACCAGGACAGCTGGGGTGAGGGGCGACTCAGGGAACCTGGACAGTGGCCATTTGACCCCAGGCATAGAAGGGCATCAACACTTAAACAACCGGGATGGCCAAGCCAGGAAGTACCCGCTGAATGTGGGCCTCGCCCGGGGGTGCTTCCTGGGCTAAGACGTGCGGACCGAACTAGTCAAACCCCCCGGAGCCGGCAGCAAACAGCCTTGCGCCACCTCCCGTTCTCAGAGCCCACTTCCTACTCTGGCAGCAGCAGTGGCTCTGCGCAGGTGCGGGCTCACAGCCCCGCGCCCGGCCCCCTCTCTGGCTGTCCACCAGGGGCTTCTCTGGCCCTCCGGCCTAGCACCGCCTGCCGTGAGAACCCCACTCCTGCATGTGTGTGCCCTTCACACCTGGGGGGCTGCCACGGTTGTCGGAGTGAGGAGCAGGTAGACAAGGCGCCCCTCTCTGAGGCCCCTCCAAGAGATGGTTCTGGGGTCCTCGGTAGAGCTGAGGTCCAAAGTGGGGAGCAGCTCCTTTGCATGGCCTCGGGTCAGCTCTCCCCGGGGTCACCCCTCCTAGTCCCCAGGGATCACCTCACCTACAGCACTGCCTGCCCGCAAGCTCCCTGGGGGGTGTCACACAGCCGGCTCCTCGTCACCGGTCCCCTGCCCCCCGCAGAAGTACGTGCAGGACGTCCTGCAGGAGAAGCTGGCGGAGCCTGTGTACCGAGCCCTGCGGGAGCAAGGGGGCCACATTTACGTCTGCGGGGACGTCACCATGGCCGCCGACGTCCTCAAAGCCATCCAACGCATCATGGCCCAGCAGGGGAAGCTCTCGGTGGAGGACGCCGGCGTGTTCATCAGCCGGCTGCGGGTGAGTGACCAGCTGGCTTCTCGGGTCCCTTTCTCGGCATCCAGTGTCCTGCCTCCTCTTCCTCCCCCACCTGCCTCAATGGTTAGGGGAGCCCTGGTGACATCCCCGCTCCTGTCACTCCATGCATGGCTAGGGTAGAGGTTCAGGTGGTCCCAGCCCACAGTGGAGAGAAAAGCAAGGGTGGCGGGCACGCGGGTGAGTGTATCACATACGACTGGGGCTGTGGTAGGAGAAAGTGGCGGGCAGGTCGGTCACTGGGTAGCTGGGCAGAAGCCATCCTAACCCAGCTTTTCCTGCCCCAGAACCAGGCGGCAGCTCTGAGTGGGGCAGGAAAAGGGCCCTGCATGGAGAGGCCTACCCCCGGGAGGCAGGTGCGAGTGGAAAGCCATCCCTTGCTCGGCCCCCTAAGCTGTGAGCCTCGGCCTGGAGCTGTGCCCATCCCAGAAGGAGAGCCACCTTCTCCCCCTTTGCACAGAGCGATGGCTAAGAGTGGTCCAGCCAGCAAAGGCCTGTGTGCCCCCCATAGAATGAGTCCAGGTCTCCGCAAAGCTCCAGGGGTGATCCCCAACTGCCCCGGCTTCCCTCAACGGGCAGCGATCCGCCAGTTTTGCAGAAGGAGCCTTTGCTGTAAACCTGATGCTAAACCCCCAGAAGGGCAACAAAACAAATACATAAAGGACTTTCTGGCAGAAATGTCGGCGAGCCGAGGGGCGTCGTGGAGGCCCCCACCACCCGGTGTCTCCGGCACCAGCCTGGGGAGCCACTCTCACAGATTCCTGAGAGCTCCGCAGAGTGGGGTGGAGAGACCACCCCCACTTAAAACACAAGCCCCTTCTACAGACGAAGAACTTTCTTCAGAAACCCTTCTGAGCTGAAGCCTGTGCATCACTGTGCCCCAGAAGTCCCTGCTCTGGCAGCTGGGGCGGCGTCCCCTGGACGCTCCGCAGCCCTTTTCCTTCCCGCCTCCGTGGGCCGACAGGCTGTGCTGCCTCCCACTGGACCCTCCGCGCCCAGACCTGAACCTGCGGGGGCGGCGGGGGGGGGGGGGACGAGGCAGGAGGGCGGCGAGGTTCCCATCCGTCAGACCTGCGCACCTCCTCTGTCCTCGGATGGACGCAGCAGCAGCCTCGCTCCCCCATGGGACCGGAAGTGGGTCTGGGTCACACCGCGTTCCTCTGGGGACCGGTTTCTTTAGACGTAGTTCATCCTGTGTGTCCGTCCGCCTGTCACCCGTCTCTGGGCCCCTGGCTGGCGTTTGAGGGCTATTTCCTGGCTGTTTCTGTGCCCTAGGATGACAACCGCTACCATGAGGATATTTTCGGGGTCACCCTGCGCACGTACGAAGTGACCAACCGCCTTAGATCTGAATCCATTGCCTTCATTGAGGAGAGCAAAAAGGACACCGACGAGTAAGCCGGCCCTGCCCCCTGGGGCCGGGGTGGGCGGAGCCCTCTCTCCTGGGCCCCGGCATCCTCGGTGGGGCTTTCCTACAGAGGGGCCCCCACCCACAGAGAGCCGCCGCAGCTGCACTGGGCCACCCCTGACCTGCAGAACCTAAACCTCTGGGGTGGGGGTGCAGCAGTTCGTGTTTTAAGGAGTGCCCAGGGGTATTGTAGGGTGCCCTCCAGTGTGGGAACCCCAGCTTTGAATGCCGGCTTCTGCCTGAAGTGCCCCCTAGTGGAGCGATGGCTCAGCAGTCTCGACAAAGGTGTATTCTTAGGGTCCACACCACCTCTCTCACCCCCGCCCCCAAAATTGCTGGGAACGCTCTCATTGATGCAAATTCACGTTGGCATTGTTTTGACAATGTCACTCCTCCTCTGGAAATTTCTGGAAACAGTCTGGGGTGCCACAAGATTGGGACCAAGTCTCACTATTGAAACCTGACCGCAGTGCTGTGACACCTCAGCCCTCAAGTATAACCTCACCCCGCCCCACCCCCCGTTCCCTGTCCCAGAATGCCATGCAGCCCCCACCACGTGCTCTTGAACTTGGGTGGGAAACGGGGCAGAGGGCACACACTGCTCTCAGGTAGCCCCGTGGTTTTCCCGTACAACACAGCAGTCTTGAAAACGTACGTTTGTGTCCAAGAGGCTCACGCTATGGCCATTGACCTCACAGCTCCTTCGGCTGCCACAGAGCCCCCGAGAATGTCCCTCTTCCCGGCTGCTAGTGTTGCTGAGCAAGCGTTCGCACGTTTGTTCATTCGTCCATTACACGCCCCCGCTGGGTGCCAGGTGCCTCCCTTGTCGCTGAGGCCCGGAGGAAATGAACATGAGGACCGAGTTTAGGGAGCGCCCAGAGCTGAGGGCGGCGCTCTCTGGTGTCTTTAAGGAAACAGCAGCCTTGCTCCTGTGGCGCTAACTCCCCCCTCACTTCTTCTCCCGCAGGGTTTTTAGCTCCTAACCGGATCCTCTGCCCAGACTGTCGGCAGGGGGGCCACCCCGCGCGCTCCGGCGGGGGTGGCGGCAGGTTTTGTAAGCGTGGACACTGCTGAACCCTCCCTGTGGGACCCCACGTGGCCCCCTGCTCTGCCTCTCGTCCTGTCGCCGTGTCCTGGTTGTCCTCTGGTTTCTCGCCTCTCCGTGTTTCCTTGAACTTGGGTTTTCTCCTTGAGTTTTCCTGCTGCGGTGCAATGCCTTTATGATCTGCAGTGGCTCTTACGAGACTGCCCCCCTGCTTCCTCTTCCTGACAAGGACAAATCGGCGGTGCATGAAGGCACTGGGACAGGGGCGTCCCTGGAGCCAGGGCTTGTTTTCTGGGGCGCCCCTGGAGAGGCGGCAGGGACCGCACGGGAGAGCTCGGAGCCCGTCTCCCAGCCGCTGAAGCCCCACCTCACCCGTGTGCACGGCGGCGTTCTGGTGGTAACACACGGGAAGGCGTGTGGGTGCGTGTGGCCGGCCTGGGTCACGAGGTCCGTCCTCTTGCCTGCGCCATCATGCTGCCTGTAGACCCTCGATGGCAAGAAACGTGGCCCAGCCTGTGTGGGTGGCCCCCATGTCGGTGCCTGTGTCCCTGGAACACGCGGAAGCCCCCAGTGGTCCTGGTTATAAAGGGTCAGGGGACAAAGGTGTATGATGACCCAGGGGGAGTCTCCAAGGAAAGGGGGAACTGGAGGACTAGGTGCGTCCAGATTCTGGCATCAGTGAGAGGAGCCCCCGCTGGGAAATGAGCCCATCCGCTGGATTAGGCAGCCCGGCCTCCCAGAGCAGCCCCAGCCACGAGGCCAGAAGCCGTGCTGTCCAAGGGAGCATGCTGGAAAGACGAGTCCTCTCACCTTTGCCTGCCAGTGACTTGGGACAAGTCACCTGTCCTCAGTTTCCCCTCGTTTTAACATACGAATGGACCGGACCGACATGTCGTGAAGACTGGAAGCAGTATCAGGGAAGCATGTCATCGTCTTGTTCTTATCCCTCCCAGTGGGACTTGCTGGTTTGGCCTCGGGGATGACAGGAGGGCAGGCAGGTCAGGTGGGTCGGGTGGGGAAGGGGAGCCCTATTGCCGCACTGCGTGGCTTCTCCTACAGGACCGCGCTGAGGGTGGGAGGGGCCCGGCCTTCTGCCAGCGACCCACCACGTTTTTAACCTGCTGAAATAATCTTAACAAATGAATTGTCCTCCATGCAGAGAAAACGTGGGCAGCAAAGTCACTAGCGGGAATCGGGGCTGGTACAATTTCTCCCTGGCAGGCAAGCTGCGGAGTTTACCCCCTGGGAGCAAATGGCACAGGAGGGTCCCTTTTGACACGGAAATGCTGACAGTCAAAGGCAGGCAGGCCCAGAGAGAGCCAGGAAGTCCCAGTCCTGCCGCCAGGGACCGGCTCCGCAGCTCTGCTCAGGGCCTCCAGGGGCAGAAGCATTCAGCCGGCCCCACCCTCCTGCTGGATTTTTGTCACGCAGAAAGGCAGCATTTGCTTCACAGGCTGCACCAGGGGCCTGCCTTTCCCCACGCTCCATGAGGGGCGTACCAAAGAGAGAGCCCTGGCCCGCCTGGGAGGGGCCTTAGAATGGGGGTCCAAGGAGGTGTTGGGGAGGACTCCTCCGAGACTCTTTAAGTCAACGGGTAGACAACATCTCGCCTTTTCCCACCCTCCCTGGCCACCCCCACCCCCGGGACAGATTCATGTCCTCCCTGCCTTCTTGCTGCTCAAGCTTCCATGGGCACAGAGACCAGACGTTTGTGTGGCATGCTCCCTGACCCCTTCCTGACAGCCTGGGGGGAAGCCCACTGTGAACCCCATCCGTCCTGCAGGCTGGACTCTGTCTCCCAGTAGCTTTCCTTCCGGGGACTTTCCAGTCCCTGGGGGTCACCAGCGCCCCAGGGCCCGCACTGCTGTGCGCAGCCCCCAGCAGGGAGGAATCCCCAGCCCATGCTCCCCCTCTCCCAGCCGAGCTCTCGGCACGGACGCCTCCCCCCACCCCGCTGCACAGACACTGGTGCGTGGGCTCTGCCAGGCGCCTAGCTCCGACATCCCTGTGCTCCCAGAAGTAGGCCTGCAGATGGAAACATCTCGTCGTCTTATCAGGGAGGCCAAAGAAAGACACGATTACTTAACCAGGATTCGTCTTTCCTCCCAAGAAGGATTTTTTCCTTAAGTAAACACCGTTCAGCCACAACACAGCTGCTTGGTAACTCCTGGCCCCGAGTCAGAGACCAGACCTGTCTGCTTCTCTCTGTCAGAACCCCTGACACCCAACGCCTGGCTGGAATGAGCCTTCGAAGCCCAGGAGAGTGGAGCCCTGGGGTGGGGTTAGCGAGAATCGGGGCGTGTAAATGCTGCCCTCTTGTGGTAGCCTTTAGTTCAGTCCCAGTAACCAAAAGTAGGTGCAAAATTCGGTTTAAGGATAGATTAGCAAAATTAGGGTTGACTGGGCATTTGGGGGTTACTCAGGCTCCAGACCTCCTACTCCCTCTCCCCCTTGAACTGGCTTTCAGGAGCTCCAGTCCCGTTGAAAGTGAGTGGAAGTGAGCTGGCCGGCGGGAAGGGGCCATCCCCTGAATAGTCAGTCACGCTCTCCCGCCACCGAGACTGAGAATCCAGTCCCTTCACCTCGTGTGAGGGAAGCCGTAGTCACACACCCCGAAAGGAGAACGTCTCCCCTTGGTTTCTATGCAGTGAGACAGCCGGGTAGTTTTCTCTTGTGTGTGTCGGGGGTGCTTCAGGCCCACCAGTACGGAATTTGGGAAGCTGGTTGGAGTCCAGAGGGTGAGCTAAGGTTTGCCCATTCGCTTTCAGCCGGCCGTAATCACTGGTACACTTCGTCTCCGCCGCCTCTGTCTCCCAATGAGCCCCTGTGTCTGCAGACGGCTGTGGGCTGGTGAGCTGTTAGCCCTTCTGGGTCTGCCATACGCCTGCATGACAGAGGGGATTCAATGAGGCACTGCTCCTAAGTTGTCACAGCGCCAGGCCCCTTGTAAGCAATCACATTTTATTTCCCCACTTCATCTGGAACACACCCTGCTTCTCCGGGGTGCGGAAGGCACAGGGCGGTGTGCAGAGCAAACGCAGCCCCCAGCTTAGAGACAGTCAGGACCTGGTGTGCGGGGACACAACTCTCAGAGCTGATGGCAGTGTCTGGGGCTCCAGAGGCGGGTGGGATCCCACCAGCGGGTTTGGGGGGACAGGTTTGCCTGGAAGTAGGAAGAGGGAGAGGACAAACAAGGATGGGGGGCCTGGAGGATGAAATGGGGGTGGTGCCAGAAGTGCCCCACTTTGGAAGGCTGAGGAGGGTCAGGCTGGCGAGCGGGGCACCGGGAAGGTGCTGGAGGGCCAGAGAGTGGGGAGGGGCGAGTGGCCCGTTAAGGGGTTTTTTACTTTAAGGGGAGCCTTTGAGAATGTTTTCAAAAGGGGAAAAAAGAGGACTGGAGTTACGCTTAGGAAAGAATGTTCTGGCAGCAGCATAAGGCACAGAGAGCTGGGCTGTTGACCTGCGGCAGGTGATGTCCAGAGCAAAGGCTGGAATGAGGGAAGAAACAGATAAAGCGATAACAGAGATTCCAGGAGTTTCATCAACAGGACCTGGCGACCTGTCTCTTGTGGAAGATGGAAACAAACAAGAAAGTCAAGATTCTTGACTTTTGGTTGAGAAAGGGGGCTTAGGAGATAAAAAAAACAGGCTCGAGAGAAAGATGAGTTTGTGACACCCTAGTGATAACTGGGCGAGTCCACGGGGTCAGTCCTTCCAAGGGTCGGCGGGCTTGTGCACAGGATAAAAAGTGACCCCAGGCCCCAGGCCCATAGGCCTTGGCCTTTGAACCCAGGACTTTTCTTGCCAGACGTGCTCCCAGAAGCCACCTGCTTGGGGCTCCAAAAGGAGGTCGTGTTTGTCCTAAGTCCAAAATGAGTGAAGTTTTCTGGGGCACACGGCCCCTGCCAGAGTGGGCAAGCCAGACATCTGGCCCTTCTCCCCTCCGGCACCGGCCCTCCCATGTGGCCTTTTGACTCCTGCCACTGGGAGAACCTTGGCCTAAGACTGTGTGTCTGGCTGGCCGTGTGTGTCTGTGTATTCCCATCTGCCCTGCCTCTCTCTCCCCAACGTGTCACTGAGCCCACCTTGTCCATTAAGCCTTCTGTCGGAGTGCGCAAGTTAACCTGAGACTGCCTGCAGGTGACAAGGAGGAAGAAATGCCGGTCTGAGCTTCCAGTATGAAGCGTCCATGCATACCCCCTGCCTTCTCCCAGCCCTCGTAATGTCTGCCGTGTCCGCATGCCCTGTTTGGCCCAGGAGCTGGGTGGAGGACACAGAGGTCTGGCCATCTGAGGGAGGGGCCTGCCTCCCAAAGACCCACCACAGGTGGCTCCCATGAACCTGAATTTGGCCTTTTGGGGGCTGATACCTGCCTGGCCTCTCCGGTCCCTGCCTGGTGACAAAGGGGTCCAAGAGGAAAAGCCCCGCTCACCAACCTGACCCTCCTCAGCCTTCCAAAGTGGGGCACTTCTGACACCGCCCCCATTTCATCCTCCATGCCCCCCATCCTTGTCCCCAAACTCTGACGTGTCTCACCTGTGAGGACCTGGGAAAGCAGATCTGTTGGGGTCTCTTGTCAAAGCCACGGGCAAGGAAGGTGGTCAGGGATAAAAATGCCTTAGTTTGTTTTGGCCCAGAACGAGCAGTTCAGAATGAGTAGGACATGTGTCTCTGGCCCGGGACAGAGCCCAGTCTTCAGGAGGGGCCCGGGCAGGCAGGGACAAACCCACCTGAGGATGCTGTTGGCCGCAGCCTTCTAGAAAGAGACTGCAGCACATCAGAGTGCCCAGACTTGGCCCCTGGGCCCCAGGAAAATTGAGGGTCCATCAGCCTCAGCGATGTTGGCATTGGAGGCTGGAGAATTCTTTGTGGGGTGAGGGGGGGCTATCCTGGGCACTGGAGGAATGTGAGCTGCCAGTCGCAGCCCCCCCCCCCCAAAACATGACAACCAAATGTGTCCTTGGACATTGCCCAGTGTCCCTGGGGGCGAGCCGAGCATTCCTCGGCTTGGGTGACTTTGCTGCTGTTACCCTCCACCACCACACCGGGACTTGGAGGGTTTTGAGGGGGTGAAAGGTATGGCTTCACACACTCCCTCCCAAGACGGAAGGATGACCGTTGTGGGTCAGGGACAGGCTATGCCCTGGGCATCCGTTCGGACTCAGGCCCACAGAGGCCTAAAGCTCTCTGCGCCCTGCCTCCTGCCCCCACGCTGTGCTCCGTGTGGCTCTGTTGTCGTGATCGTGAGACCCCCTCTGGGCTCCGCACTGACTTTCCGGAAGGCTGGGGTTGTGCACACGCAGCTGGTCGCTCTCGAGGCTGCGCCGTAGGTTTCCACTCTGGGGCTGGGGGACTGGGCCGGTGGGCAGAGGACGTCTCATCTGGACACACACACACACACACACTGTCAGAAAGTTGGACTGCCCCCCTACCTCTGAGCTCTCGATGCTGCTACTCTCTGCCCCGTGTCCCGTGTGCCCCAGCACCTTCCGCAAAGGACTGACGCCCGCCCCACGCTCTGCGCGGTTGCCCAGGCTGTGTTCGCCGCATGCTCTTCCTCTGTATAGTCCTCACCTTCTAATTTGATGGAAGTCAACAAAAGTCTACTTATGCCTGTTTGCATCATGGTGAAAATATTAAAAAGTGGACTCCACTTGGCCGACTGCTCTCTTTTGTTGGCCTTGCTTGGGATCGCCTGTGCCCTCGCCCACTCTCGCAGGCCAGGCCCTCCGGGAAGCCCACCCTGAGACGGGGTACCGGGAGGCTGACCGGGGAATGGCCTTGGGTAGGGAAAAAGGGCAGGGAGGTGGGGGCGGGGGGAGCAGCCCAACTAACTCGGCAGAGGGAAAACGTGAGCTGTGCTGCTGTCTCAGCCGAAGCTCCCGACAGCCCCGCGGGGAACTCTGAAGGTGACCCTCAGGGCGAGCTGCTGCTCAGAGGCCGAGCAGGAATCGGGGCCTGGCGCCGCACTGCCCGTCAGAGGCGCATTCCAGAAGATAAGGGCCGACAGTCGTTAACCACTCCTCCCCCCCAGAACACTGGGACCTGGGACCATTGCTGTCCCTGTTTTAAAGCCTGGGAAACTGAGGCAGAAGGATATCGGCCAGCTTGAGCTAGGTCAGCATAGGTGGTGACTGTCGGGTGGAGTCGGAACCCCGACTGTTCGGCCCTGGAATCTGCATTCCTCGCCCCCAGCCAGTGCAGCTGCTAGGAGACCCAGAGGGCCACAGGACAACGCCCCACTCCCCCACTTTCTACCTGTGTGGCTTTGGATAAGTTACCTGGCCTCTCTGTGCCTCCGTTCCCCATAAAATAAGCCGTGCTGGTTCCATGGTAGCTGCGTGGGGATGGGGCTCGGTGGGCGGCTGTGTGCAGCACAGCGGGGACGGGATTGGGGGGGCGGGCAGCCTTGTGTTGCAGAGCAGACAGGGTTAGTGCATCAGGGCCGGAGGGCCAGGCCCTCCCCACTGGGAGCTGCAGTGGGGACAGACTGGCTGTGGTGTCACCAGTGGTGCCGGCGAGGAGAACGGGGAGCTTGTGTTCAGAACCCCACACTCCCCGTGGCGGGTAGGGGGCGGGGCCTGCAGGGCCAGAGAGTGGGGCGTGCCGGCAGCTGGCTGGCCCGAGGGAAGGCGAGGGCCAGTCATTCCTTGAAGTCCTGAGGACAGTTCTGAGGCCTGCGCTGGCGCCCCTCTGTCTGGTTTCATCAGAAAGTAGCCGGGGGGCTGTTCCACCTTAAGGCACTGGAGCTGAAACACAGCCTAGGTCCAGATGTTATCTTCAGTGGGACCTTGTGATCGTTAGTCAAGCCCTGGCTCTGTCTTCTGCTGCCCCAGGGGGCTGCCGATTTTCCAGGGGAAAGGCTAGGCCTCTGAGGACTGGGAGAGGGAAGGAGAGAGAATTGCTAGAGCTGGGGTTTAGGGCTAAATTTAATCCAAGTCTTAAGGACCCTCGGTTTCACGTACACGAGTAAGGAAAGGTCCACACTGGGGTTCCTTCCGACTCTCTCGGCCTTCTTCTCTCCTTGAAGCTCAAACAGCGCCACCTCGATGTCACCGGCCGCCTGATGCCGAGGCGCTGGGTTTCTCGGGCCTCCTCAGCCCACCTGCCCTCGTGGCAGCCACCTGTTTTAGAAGCCGATTGCCAGCCTCTCCCTGCACCTGCCCGTTAGCACTTGCTGGGAGTAAGGCCTGCCACCTGCTTACATTTTTCACCCTTTCCCCTGAGTAACCCGTGCACACATTGGAGTTTTGACAGTCTCGGTGTCAGAGGTGGCTGGGGACAACTGAACGTTTCTGTGCATCCAGATGGGGGTGGCTTCTGTTGCTACCAGGAGAAAAATACAAGTTTACACCAAAACAGAACCTTCCCAGCCATATATCCAAAACAGAAGAGAATGGAAAACAGCTTGGGTTGGGGGAAAACAAAGAGTTTTTGAGTCAAAGGGCTTCAGGTGGCCCGGGCTGGGTGGCTCAGTTGGTTAGAGTGTCACCCCCATACGCCAAAGTTTGTGGGTTTGATCCCTGGTCAGGGCACAAACAAGAATCAACCAATAAATGTGTGAGCAAGTGGTGTTTTTCTCTCTCTCGAGTGAATAAATTTAAAAAAATAGTAAAAGAATGTGTTGGGCTTCATAGTTAAGTTAAATACTAAAAATAAACTTATTTTTTTTGTACCCTTGGCAAAATCAAAAGAACAAAAGCAGGGAAAATATTTACAGTCGGGCGGATCAATATAGATAGAGCTCAACCCAATCACCAAAAGGAATTTGCTTTAGCAAGGGCCTTGGGAGGAAAGTAGGATTGTTAATGAAATACCAGAAGATTAAAGCCAGGTGATCAGTAAAGTGATTTGGGGGCCGGGAGGGGGCCAGGAGTGGCTGGTCTCCTGACTGTCTGCATCCCTGTTTTCTCAGCCAGAACTCAGAGTTGAGGTTGGAAGTCCATAGCCAAAGGCTGACTCAGTTCCGCCCTAACTTACTCGTGTCTAAGAACTTGGAGATCTTTAAGGGTGGTGAGTTCTGCTGTCCACTCCGTTCCTGTTCCTGGTCTTGCAGGAATGTGACTGGGCGAAGGACTCGACGCGAGAAAGCCTTGAGATGTGCCCTAAACTCGGGGGGGTAGTGTCTGTGGCGTTAGCTAAACCCTGTGCACTGAGCGATTGACTCGGTTTTCTTGGGAAGGCTTTCAAAAGAGTCCTTCAGGGAAGTGCAGTTGGTAGCAGACAAGCTGCTGGAAAAGTGTGTGAGGACAGGGACACCTGCTTCTCTTTCCTCTAAGATGCCAGGCATCATCCTCCTCGAAAAGCACACAGTGTCCTCACAGTGCCCTTCCAGAAACATCTCTCTCACCCAGGCGTGGGTTTGCTCGAAGGCATCCGGCGCCACTAGAGACCGGCCAAGATTCCGTGCCTGCTCTGGCCACGAGCAGCCTCCCCGCCCCCCACAAGCCTCCCCTTCTGCACATCTACCTCCACAGTTCTAAACACAGCTTTTCTGCGCCATCTGCCTGCCCTTAGCTTCCGCCACTTGCCCTCCCCGGACTCGGCCGAACCCCAGTCCAGGGCCGAGGGTTTGAGGCAGACACTGTGTTTTCCGGGCTCTGTGCTCCAACTGCACTTTCGGTCTGCGCCAGTCGCGGGGCCCCGCCTGGAAGTCTTGCTTTGCAAGCGTGGCGTGCGTCTGTGCGTGTCCTCTGCTTCCTCCATGGAGTCGTCACCTATTGCCTCAGTGACACTGGGCAACTGTCAACAAAATCTCCCTGGCTCACGGCGTGATTGCTGCACCGGCCGGAGTCACGTTGCCGTGGGCCAAGGAACACAGCAGACACACAGGCTTCCGTCGGGAGGGGCGCGGCCCCGCCGCCGTGTCTGTTTCAGCCGCGGATGCGCCGTCAGAGACTTCGGACGCCCACAGCCGTTAGACGACACGTGGGTGTTGTCTTAAGCCACCAAGTTGGGGTAATTAGTTCAAGCAACAATAGAAAACTAAAATATATTCATTCCTTATGGCTGTATCCTGGGGAAGAAACCATTTCTGTATGTTTTCCAGCTTCTAGAAGCTGTTCATATACCCTGGCCTATGGCCCAGCACCACTCCAATATCTGTTTTGGTTTTTTTTCTTTATTTACTTATTTTTAGACATAGTGGAAGGGGGGAGAGAGAGAATGAGAGAGATACAGAGATATCAGTGTATGGCTGCTTTTCACTAGCCCCCTACTGGGGACCTGGCCTGCAACCCAGGTATGTGCCCTGACCGGGGATCCCAATATCCGTTTTTATTGTCACCTCTCCTCTCTCTGACCCTGACCTGTCACCCTGCTTGGGACTCTGGTGATGACATTGTCCAGGATAATCTCCCCGTCTCAAAATTTCTGGCTTCATTACATCTGCATTGCTTTTGCCACATGAGAGCCCTGTGACATTGTGACTTTCAATAAGAAATATCTGTTCGGTCTTCATCCCCGTACTTAAAACCCTTGGAGTTCCCTCGGTGATGAGAGCAGTAAAGGTGTCTTGTTATTCCTGACAAACTCTGCTCAAACACACCTGAGTGCATGTTAATGAGTGACTAATGGGAAGCCCCTGAGAAGGGGGCTAGTTGCCGGGGGAACCAAGCAGGTGATCAGAGGGTTGAAAGTTTCGGTCCCACCCCCGGAGCTCAGGGAAGGCAGAGGAGCCGGAGGTCAAATCCCCAGGGATCTGGGATTTAACCTAGTGTGCCTCTGTAATGAGTCCTCCATGGGAACCCAGAAGAAGAGGGTTCGGGGAGCTTTCGGGGTGGGGAGTGTGCAGAAGGGGCTGGGGGAGCGTTGCCCCTGCGGAGGGCATGGAAGCTTCTCGCCTTTTCCCCAGACCTCACCCTGCTCACCTCTTCCACCTGGCCCTTCTGAGCTATGTCCTCTTACTGTAAACCTGTAACCTCGTAAGTAAGATGTTTCTCCGAGTTCTGTGAGACGCTCTAGTGAATCAGTCGAACACAAGGAAGGTACCGTGGGAACCTCCAGTCTGCAGCTGGTCCGCCAGAAGCGCAGGTGGCAACATGGACCAGAGCTGGCTTCTGAAGGCGGGGGGCAGTCTCGTAGGACCGAACCTAAACCTGTGGAGTCTGCCTCCAGGTCATGGTGTCAGATGGAGGGTGTCAGAATTGAGTTTGAATTGCAGGACCCCCAGCTGGTGCCTAGTGGTGTGAGAGGGAAGGTAACCCCACATCCTAGTGATACAAGGGTGGGCAAAAGTCAGCTTGCCGCTGTAATGCAAATAACACAACCATGAATAGAGAATAATACAAGAGGGAATTCTGTTTCAGGTACGTGTAACTGGAAACCTACTTTTGCCCACCCTGGGGTAGTCACAGGTTTTGGGGGGCTCATCTCAGCCCACCCTCCCGCCCCCAAAGGTTCTGGTCCCCCGCACAAGCAGAGCAGAGTCAGCTCAGCTGACTTTCACTGACAGGATTAGTTCTCGCGTGCGGCAGAAAACACAGTCAGGACCCACTATTGCCAGGCCCTTTTGTGGGCCCCGGAGATCGGCCAGGGCGGCGTCCCATTCTCCTGGAGGGAGAGACACCACCAGCTAGTGGTTGGGTGGTGTCTCTCACACAGCAGGGCAGTGTGACGGGGCAGACAGGGGGTCGGGGGAGGCC